ACCCTGCCCGTGAGCAATCTCCCAACTCATCTCTGTTGGTGATAGCAAGTGAGTCGTATGATTCGTGAAAAGCCACAACCTTTCGTGCGATATTCTTTTAGAGTCAGTTATCGATTGATCGTTATACGTTTACCGGCTTCCATATGGCTCAAACAAGGCTATCCAGTGAAATTCTTATAGGCGGAATAGATGGGTAAGAGAAACATTTTTGACATTGTATTTCGCGATATTTGTAGATATATTTTAAAGACATTGAATTTATACGAGGTGGTCCAATAACTAATAGTAAGGAATTCAGATATATACCCTAGAACGCTATTTAAATAGATCAAGACGTGGCATGACGAATTGTCAGCCAAGAAAATTTCTGAGTCACACACCAGGAGACACCACTGTCGCTCGTTTTTCCCTTTGACTATTAGGTATGGATCAGGGGGTCGACACTGGCATGTATTGGGGTGTAACGCTTTATGCACTACTGCCATCGTCGGTTGGAGTAAACCTTCGCGAACTAAAATATTTGGCGGGCTATTCAAATTCATTTATTAAACGAAGGGATATTTTCGGGATTTAAAAAGTACTTGCAATGATTAAAACAGGCGTNAATATTTTCTAATAGTAATTATTACTCTATAGCTTGAACTTTGAAGTTGATCGAAAAAAAAAAGTTATTTAAACGAAGAAACCTAAAGTATAAATAACAAAATTAACGTTCTCTTAAATTCTCAATGTTCCCGGTAACTTACGGTATGTTTCACAGTTACCTTCTCCAATTTAATGTTACCGAGAATTTTCGAACTCTAGGCAAGCCTACGTATAGAAAAGGGAGGGTTATATTGCTTTCTAATTGTTCAGCCTCCTTATTGGTTCAGCTAACTGATTGGCTCGTAGGAATATCTTACGTTCATGGAATGGCTTTAGAAAGCGGCGCGTAATTTTGAAAGCAATTTCCATTATTTCTTATAATACATGAGTTGTAAGTTGAAATATTCTCAAAATATCGAGCTGTTACAGAGGTCACCTTCTTTATTCAGTAAGAACTTCATCTTATGTTTGTCAATTTGAGTATTTTTCACACTTTTCAAAAGCCTGCCTTATAATTTTAATGTTTTGCACAAACTGGAAAACAACATCTCAACTTAAAAACCAATAATAATGTGTAAAACCGACGTTACATTTTCTCAGATGTAAAATGAATGCTACAGAAATCGCAAGGTTCGATAAAGTTCCAAAACCTCCGATTAATTTGAAACTTTATATACCTATGCGAAGAAAAAATAAGGGCCTTAAAGTTACAGAAGCCTATCTGTTGGGAATTTTTGTTCACGATGCAGAATGCGCATGCATTCAACTGTTTCATGCACGTTCAATTTATTTGAATTTATTTGAATCAAATAATTATTTTTTAAATTAATTAAATATTTCTTTAGTACTATTCGAAGAAATGTTTTCTTGATTCGATGATTTTTTTTCTCTGTGTAATTTATGCAAAGTTCAATGTGGTATGAGGGTAATTCTCACATGCTTATCCGGCTACACTTTTTTTTCTTACACCCATAATTGTAAAGATATTGAAAATGCTAATAGTTACTGGACCACACGATATAACGCACTTGCAGATGAATTTTATATGTTTAAAATAACAATTTTCGTTTCATGTTCCGTCTACTTGTCCTAATCATAAAAGACAAAATATTATAGTACAGTAAACAAACACTTAATGAGCCTGTGATTATTATTATTAGCGGTGCCAGTAATTCCACTCTTATCGTCATCAATGGACAAGGTAAAAGCCTGGTTACAATCAAAGGAGATGGAACTAATTATCATGTAAGAATAAATAAGAGTAAACTAAGTCTAATAAGTAAATTAAAACGTGTTTAGGAAATATTTCAAACATTTCCTATATATTCTAATCAAGTGTGCTTGATTAAACGATCATAGTAAATAATCATTTTATCGGAAGAATGTACCCTAGTGTCTCGCATAAAAGACAATCGATTTTGTTCGAACTTTTGGATAGAAATGCTATTACTTTTTTATTAAAGCGAAGATTATAATTATCAATCATAATTATTTATTTTAGTTGCTAGGTATAGATGAGGTTGCTCGTAGAATTAGTGAGATGATTAACAGTGCCAAACACGAACTGGGTCTTTCCGATTCACGTCATCTGGATGTTGTGGTGAGTGAAATACATTTGATTATGAAAGAATTGGGAACATAAGATATTAGAAAAGATAGGTAAATCTTTTTTTTAATCATGTTATCAAATTTTTCCCGTATTTGAGACAGTTCTCGATTTCTTTCTAGAGATGTTTATAATGATAGCGGAATCATGTTATTTCTGTATTAAATGTCAGAAGTTGGTTTCAATCATACATCTTCTTTGCTATGAAAAGACAATTTATAGTGCGTCCATACGACACCGACATTTGTCTGCGCAGCGGTGTTGGGCAGACAAAAATCTGTGCGATTGGTACATACGTGGAGACGTTAAGTTTGCGGTTCTGTGGCGTCAGCAGTTAGGACAACAATACCCGTATACACAGTTCAGGCAAACGCCGCAAGCGGCGCTCCGATGGGGCAACGCGCAAACAACTTAGTTCGCCGTGTAGTTAGATATATAACAGAACAAGAAGAAAAGCCTAACGACGAAGTACCGCAAAGCGCGGTCTATTTTGTTTGTAACAAAAGAAAGTTTATATATGCCAAATAGGCTTAATAATAAGTACTGTGATTATGTCGATACAGTGTTTTATTTATCATTAACAAAAATAAATTATAGACGAACGAGTCGGATAAAATAGTGCTAACACGCATGTGGCCGAACGCGCCATAGTTCGTGCAAACGTACAGACATCTGGGGATCGGTTTTGTAACTTGAATCGGTTTAAACGCGTGGGCACTTCCTGCGAGTTTGTAATATGTATACTTTGATTCAAAGAACGAAGCAGTTGAATCGTTAACAAATAGAGAAATGTTTCAGACTAATATTTCATTACTTTGGTTTAATTTTATTTACTTCTAAATGTTTGGTTCCTTTGGAAAAAGGATTTCGTCGTTCGCAGCAATTCACATTTTGCGCGAATTCCACTGTGTATTCCGCACGGCCGGTGACGGCAGCATATCCGCAGGGAAACCAGTCAATGCTCGCCAGTTATCTTCGGAAGGAGAGCTCATTTCTAGCACTTTCATCTCGCCTGAGATTATTCACCCGATTTTGTATCCTCCAGCAAAAATGCGAAATCTCTAGACTCAAAGTATGGGGAGAAAAGGTTTTGGGTGGAAGAGTAACATATATGCCTTCACTTGCAAACAGTTTGAATTTATCCAATTTATCCCCCGAACCGTGCGAACAAAGAACTGTGAAGGGTTGCACATTTTATATGCGACATAATGAAGAGATGAAAAAGAATGTTACAGAGCAAAAAAATATTTATTACTGTTAATGACCTATGATACATAATAATATAAAAAAGCATTTGTGTTAATAATAACTCCACAAAAACACCGTCGGTGCAAAAAAAACTTGTACCAAATACATCAATTGGAAAAGTACATTTTGCAAAGTAATATCCATATAGTAGCGATTAATCGCACAAATTCAATGAAATCAATTACTTTTGCCAAATACGTGTAATGGGTAGAGTTCGAAAATTCTCGGTAACATTAAATTGGAGAAGGTAACTGTGAAACATACCGTAAGTTACCGGGAACATTGAGAATTTAAGAGAACGTTAATTTTGTTATTTATACTTTAGGTTTCTTCGTACGTAACTGCTATCACTAGCAACTGCTAGTGATTTAGGTTTCATGTATAGAAATCTGTGGACAAAATTGAGTGAATAAACTTAGGTGAGATGAATGTTCGAAAAGAGATCACTTTTACCAAAGATAGAAAATCGACCCCCTGTACAAACCTTAAAACTTCACGTCTAGACGTACCAATCGCCCAGACTTTTGTATCGCTGCGCAGAGAAAGGTTGGTGTCGTGTGGACCCGCGACTAGGGAGCTTTTCGAATTGAATTAAAAGGGAATAAACAGAAACATTCTTGTACTAATAAGATGGTAACCTAATACATTCAAAAGGGAATTTGCTTGAGTGGCTGTCCTGATCAACTTACCGCCGAGCAACTAAAGCAGGCAATAAAAAACGTAAATCCGGAAGCTGCTGTGGATTATGTCATTAAGTCTGACCTTATTAGCAGTCTGAAAACAGGTCTTAGTAGTTGCGGAATTATTATTATAGCTGGGACTGGCAGTAACGCCTATCTCGTTGATGTTGATGGTACAGAACACCAATGCGGTGGATGGGGACACATGATTGGCGACGAAGGAGGTGGTAAATACCTTTGGATCAATAGCAAATTGTTAATTGCCTGGAGATGTACACATTTGCACAGATTCGATTAAGATTATTTAATCTGAACGAAAAACACTTTCTCCCAACGGAACACATATGTAAAAGCGACGGCAACTAATATGCGATTCTTAGACTTCGGATGTTCGAATGTCTGCTGGGTGGACGTTAAAGAAACGTCTAATAACAATAAATCTTAACATTCCGTAGACTTCAAGTTTACGTAAAGTTCACAATAGAGACGGTCCGCAAGTACTCTCATTACGAACATCGACTTTACATCAATTTAAGGTTAACATTAATTAACTTTAAATAACGATTGAGCTTTTGGATGCCACTTTCGCATCTCCTTAAATCCACATTTTCGCACACCTTCGACTTCGACCTAATAGATGGTGAACCATCATTGTGATTTTGAGACATGTACCTCTACGAAGCATATATGTAAAAACGACGTCAAATTGCCATGCAATTTTTGGACTTTTGACGTCAAATAAACGTAATATTAGACCTTGTCGACGTTAAATTGACGTAAAGTAGACGTCCGAATGTCCGCGGGGTGAACACCGAAGAAACGTCGAATAGACGTTAACCTTGACATCTGGTAGCCGTCAAATTTACGTAAACTCAAATTCGATTTTATACAATATTGAAAGAATAATTTCCGACGAGTGGCTTTTCCTTTGAAAACCCTCGTGCAGATATTTCGAATGTTGGTGTAAGAAATACTCGGTAACGTACGCTTCGCTTAAAATCGCTTTGCTTAAAATGTATTTGGCACAAAACTCTACTGAGTTTCTTGATTTACCGTTTAACAGTATTCTATTTATAGCTTACTGGATATCACATCGTGCTTGCAAGTATGTGATCGACGACATAGATGGACTTAAAAAGGCACCTTACTCTATTGACTACATTTGGTCTGAAATGCAAAATTATTACAAGATAACAGACATACATTCCATGAAGATGCAATTATACAAGAAATTCTCGAAGAATGAATTTGCCTTGTTTGCAAAACATATAGCCGCTGGCTGCAAGAGCGGAGATTCATTGTGTCTGTCCGTGTTGGAAAAGGCCGGCAAGTATTTGGCGAAACACATCAATGCTTTGGCAACAAAAGCTTCAGTCGTAAGTAAAAAACACACTAATTTTTTTAACCAGATTTAATGTTATCATATTCAGTAGAAAGTTTATTTCTGCCAGACTGTAAACACCATTGTATAAGACAAAGTGATATCCATAAAGATATTTAATCGTCGGTAAAAAAGATTCTTATAATATAACGGGGCCCTTCAGGAGCGCTTGCGCGGCACCGAAATCGACGGCAATCGACGCATGCGCGATAAGAGAATAGTTAGGCGGCACGAGGAAGCCGAGGAGTAGGGAGAGGCCGCGAGACTCCAGGAGACCCCGAGTCAAAATAAAAAAGGCAGAATCAATTCAATTGTCGATTGGAAAAGTCCCCCGAGTAGACATCGTTAGAATAAATTCGAGTCCCTAATGGGACAAGTTAGAAACGCGAGGAAACAGAAATAAAACCGTAGTAAGCCGGAATCCGAGAATCATTTATGAATTAAAATGTACAGACTGGTAGTAGAATCCTAACTAAATCCTAAATACCTGCGGTCTCTGCCACCGTGGTAGCCGTCGCATTCCCAACTCTAATCCTTTTTAAACCCAATCCAGGGACTGTGCTACTGCAGCATCTCCCAAACACGAATATTAGAACGTGTGAAATAAAGAAAAGTAATCAGGAAGAAAAGAGTCGTACCTTCGATTGACGGAAATCAATCGAAGTAAGTTCAACCAAAATGAATACTAACAAGGAAGGTACCTGAGGTGTCCCCCTCCGATTTTGTTCATTTTTAAATATGTTACAGAGGACTAAAATCTAAAGGACCCGTGTTTTTTTTTATCGGCGGATAAACACTTTTAGGGGGTGAAATCAGGCTTCAAAGTTGGCCGTGCAAGGGGGTGAGTTGGCTGTTTCATATAGAGGCACTCGACCGATTTTCATGAAACAACCGTCAAAATGTAGGGAATGAAGAATTATGAAACATGCATTTGGAATTTTTCAAAAAAATTCATTTTTAAGTGGTGAGCCACCCCTTTGAATACTTCTTTTACCCCTTACGCGAGCAGTAATAGTTCTATCCTAATGAAACTTTTTTTGTATTGTTCTGGTCTATAAATTAACCAACTTTCATTTGGATAGAGCAATCACTGCTCGCGTAAGGGGTAAAAGAAGTATTCAAAGGGGTGGCTCACCCCTTAAAAATGAATTTTTTCAAAAAATTCCAAATGCATGTTTCATCATTCTTCATTCCCTACATTTTGACGGTCATTTCATGAAAATCGGTCAAGTGCCTCTATATGAAACAGCCAACTCACCCCCTTGCACGGCCAACTTTGAAGCCTGATTTCACCCCCTAAAAGTGTTTATCCGCCGATAAAAAAAAACACGGGTCCTTTAGACTTTAGTCCTCTATAACATATTTAAAAATGAACAAAATCGGAGGGGGACACCTCAGGTACCTTCCTTGTAAGTGTAGATCCGTACTTTCGGCCTTGTTAGTACGACAACCCTGAAACAGGAGCCAATACGATCGTCAATTGTGAAAGACAGCTCGGACTCTATCACTGTGATTGCTTTCGATCTGCCGAGCTTCCACAGTTGGAAAGGATAAGAATTGTGCACACGAATAAGTGCACAAGAACTTTATCACAAAACATCCTACCGAACCTGGAAACCCTATGCCAGTAGATATCCAAAGCTGGATAACCTAAATTAAGTTGAAACTAACACCTGTAGAGCAGTGTTCCAGGAATCAAATGAAATAATTCAAGTAATTTAGAAAATCATATCATAAATAAGAAATTACGGGAATAACTGGATTCCGAAATACGAAGGAAAGTCAACCCGTTCTCACCCACACATTGAATCTTTTGTATCCAGATTCAATGATGAACATCTGGCGTATTCTTGTGAGATAAATCGTCAATCTGAGAGTTCACTTCCTATCCAAAATTAAATCCGTTTGCGAACAGTGAAAACGACTAAACAATTAACAATCGAAGTTAGTTAGGAATCTCGGCGCGTTCGAGATATCAAAATACGGATTCGATTCGGAATCTCGGTCTCGATCAGCTGAGCCACCGAAGTCGAGGCCCTGGTAAAAAGGCTTGAATAGAATAGGATTCTGTATCTCACAGTTTCAACGTAAAAGTGATGATTTTTCTATTCTATTTAATACCTGACTTTCCTCTCCAAGTTCAATTCCCGTAACAGGAATATATTTTCTGTGAATCAGTTATATTCTATTCCCCTTGTGTACTCTAATTTTTGTTCAATTCCGAAAAGAAGAATGTATTTCTGCTTTGTATAATTCCTCCTAGTCTGGCAAAAAATATCGGTATTAAATTGTTTTGTATTCCGTTCAGAGGAATACATTATAGGAATGCTTGGTTCCTTCCAGTTCATTTAAAAAATTTGTGCATTCAATTGCCTGGAATCCGTTTTTTGGAATATAAGTTTGTAACTTTTAATTTAAATGAATTCCACTTTATATGCCCGAGAGATTAAGTAGTTGAATTCCAATATTTGAGGTTGGTTTCATATGTATTGTATTCTCCTGAATTCCAAATATAAATTTGTTTAAACCTCATGCATTTTAAAAAGTAATATTTAAATAAACATCAAATTTCACATCTTTTTTATGTGAAAGTGAGGAGAAGGTATCTTTGGAAAGAATTGTAAAAAATTGCCATTGTAATTTACGCATTAATCAGTTACGCCCGTAATGTCAGTACACGGAAAGAAATAATTTGATTATAATTACTATAGCGACATGGTTAAAATACTGTGGCAAATGAAACCGCACAAATGACATATATTAATCTTGTGACTTTTGACGATGAATTATGACAATGACGATGACGATAATGTAATAAAATAAATGACAGTTAGCACCAATGTAGTTCTGTTTTGTTACAAATATGTGCTGCATATACACAGTAATATCATGACAGTAACATAATGTAAGATGAGAGTAACAAAGTTTCGCTACATTTATATAGATATGATAGTAACAAATGTTATGTAACCTGTTAGCTCCATGTTACATAACCGTTAAGTTACTGCATTGTAACAAATGTCATGTAACTAGTTAGCTCTATGTTACGTAACTGTTAGATTATTACATTGTAACAAACGTTATGTTTTTTGTTAGTTTCAAGTTACGTAACTGTTAGGTTTGGTGTTCAGTGGGGAAATGATATATGGAGCACTTCAGTTCGTATAATTCTCAACGTAGACTGTAAAAGACTTGAACATAAATATAAATGTCGGTAACGGGACGCGCCAGCTTATGTTACCACGTACGTATATTTTTGTTATTTTACTCTTTTTGAAGGCTTAGAATCGCAAATGAAGAGTTTCCGGACTTAACTCTGTGCTGGTTTGTTCCGTGGAAAAAACGTGCTCTTCGAGCGAACTTAGTTGCAGCCATTGCGGCAAATGGCACCGTTAGTCGATTAGAATATCAAAGAGAATGAACCCAAGAGATTACTTCGGTTTTACGACGATCACTTTATAATCATTTTACTCAAATGACACATAGAGAACTTCATTTTATATCATTCTCAATTTAAAATACAACAGATATTTACATAAATATAAATATCTGTAACGTCGCACGCCAGGTTATGTCACCACTTCAGTATCCAATATGGCGTTAGTACCGAAAACAATACAGATGAATTTTATATTATCGACGTCTGTTAAATTTCTCGGTGCTTTTCACATCACCTTAAGATACGATGGCATATTTATGACTTTGAAACATACTCAGCTGAATTTCTGACGTTTATTTTGCAGGACCTTCTGACAGCTTCTGGCGGACTTAAAGTGGTATGCGTTGGAACCGTTTGGAATTCTTGGGAATACTTGAAAAAAGGCTTCACAGAGGAAATTCGACGAGGTGGCATCATCAACGAGTTAACTCTTTACCGTTTGATTACGTCAGCAGCTGTTGGTGCTTGTTACTTGGCAGCTGATATGCTTACACACGACATGGGGAAAATGTCACGAGAAAAGAATAGGGAATTACTTTATCACTATATTCGCGAAAGTGATGGAACGCTTAAGGTACTCCAAGATGCTGATAAAAGTACTTAGCTGCCATCTCAACGAACGGCCAACAAGAAGGCAACACTGACTATGGTCCTACTCATATCTCACTTTTAGCGTCAAAAGACGTATTTTAGAACACTGTTAAAAGCCACTCTACTCGTATCTCGATTTTCAACCACTTTCATAGAAAATCCTTAATAAAGCCATAAAAGACGTATTTTAGCAGCAATACCTCCTCATACCCCCTTTTAAGCTTCTTTTTGAGCGCTTTGTTACGTAACCGGAGCTAGCAGCGACGGTTCTGAATTTCTATGACGAAATTCAAAGTGCGAGATCCGGGAAGAAAATTTATCGTTAGGATCTTGACCGAGGATTCAGTATCCCGAGTATGCTTTTCCCGTATTGACGCCGGAAACGATGCAGAGTGTATGTTGAAAGAAAATCCCGAGCGGCTGGAATACTCTGTTACGTAGACACTACTTACGAAATAATCGCGACCCGGTAAATCGGAAGGTAGCCATGGAATTCCATAAATTAGCACGCGATTTTGACATACGCTTGCGAAATGAAGTCTTAATCGACCTGACTAAGATCGCGCCACCGACCCAAGTAGACTAGGTCGCGATCAATCCGGCCCAAGAGCATCCTGGTGACGCTGCAACATATCCTCCACCCCTGCAAACACCGCTCTCGTCTAAACCATGGAACCCCCACCAATTGGAGCGCCGTCCCAAATTCGCCGATAAAAACCAACAATCGTCCAGTTAATGGGCAGTTAGTCGCAGGCAATTAGAAGAAAAGTCAGACACACACCGAGTCTCACGGACCCATCATCGTCATCGACCACGAGCTTGGAGTCTTTGGTTCTCGACTCTCAGTTTCTAGCGAGTCTAAGACCGAAACCATCGAACTCGGAGGATCACCTGCACCCTGAGCTACAGTTGTGCTGCTCGGTACTCCGGCAATCCAAGAGCATCAATCCAGGAAGGACGGCGGCACTAGTACATCCGTTGGATGGGAGGCTCCGAGGAGACCTCCAACCCTAGGGCACGTCACGGGCAGAACGCGTTCACGCACAGTCATCCGGTTGATCGATCTAAGGAGGACGTCACCGAATTGGGCCGCTGATCTAAGCCAGGTACAGGCCCTTTCGCAAGCTCGGGTCACCTTTATTTTTTTAATCCTAACCTCATCATTCATTGTAACTAAAACCATTCGAATTCCATGCCTAGCTCCGGTTAACCGGATAGATTAAGTCTTTTGTATCTCCAAAACATTTCAATATCTTGCCTCGCGCTAGAATCACGCGAACCTCACAAAGTCTGAGTGCAAGAACCGCCATGTTAGCATATTAGGCGTCCAGTGACCTATTGCTACTGACCGCCTTATCGCGTCACCCGAAGCTGCGCAACGCGGAACGAAATCGAATCGTATGAATTAAACACGAGCACCCTCGAGGACCCTCACGATTTGTAGAAACCCCATCTGACAGAAAGACAAATATATACATCCTCATCAATTTATTGATAATCTCCATTTATTGGGCCCTCCTTAGCTTCCCATTCCTATAAATCCCACCAGAGGATTTGGTCTAGCCGCTCGGGCCATCTCCTCACAATAATATCTAACCATTACGTGGACGTTCGAGGTAAGACCTTATTAGGCAAAACCCGAACATTCCCCTCAGCCTCGCATCCGCTCGGCCGCCACGTAACAACTCTTATCAGGAATTTGTTGCTCTTTCAAGGTGCTTTGCACCCCTTACTGATCCGTACCCTCGTGGTCGTACTTCAGGAAAGACTGGATAGAGGGTTTCCAAATGAATGAAATAGAAAGTATAGATTAAGTATAATTAACAACAAAACAATTTACAGTCGATACAAGCCAAGGTTTGAGTAGATCCGAATTGAAGATTGAGAGTGACGCGATAGAAGCTAATTCGCGTGGAATGATCTTCTTCGTTTAGAATGAGTTTACAATTTTTGGTACTTGGGGAAGAAATCTACGTTCTAGGATCGCGGATTCCCGAGTCTATCTTCCGATTGTGTGATAAACGATCTGTGCGGTCTCCCTAAGGATGTACGGTGGGCGTCGATACCGAAGTCCGATCAGTTCCCTACACCGAGACAGAGTTCCAACAGTCGGGAAGTCCCGCGGACACGTCTTTATCGAAATGTGGTTAAACGTCTTCCAAGCCCAATCGACGCTGTTTTTGGGCGCTTATATACTGTCAAAAGAGCGTCGGTCGCGGGTGGGGTCGACGGACTTTGGCGTAAGGCGTCGTCATGCGCGGTCAAACAGCGATTATTGCCCTGCCTATTCTGCAGAATTGCATCTTTGAATCGGCAGCTCTGTCTGAGGTTAGTGAACTGGTAAATTTATAAGGTTTTTAATAAATAGAACCTACTTCCATAACAGCTTTTAGGATAAAAGTGAGTGTTCAACCCAATACGCCAACATTAATTATCCATTGTTAATACCGTATCGAATCATAAAAATACTCGGGCGGACCAGACGACCCGTCGGACATCCTGGCGCCTGGCCGTCCTTTAAGGGTAAGAGGCGACCCTCGACCCCCCGGGGCAGGGTATTCTTTCCCAGCGACCTGGGTGTTCTTTTCTTTCTAATCCGTGTCTGCCTTCTATCACTTCTCACATAATTCGCGTTATCCGCGACCCTGTTCGCTTTATCCTTTTCACGTAAGTCTCGCTCTTGAGGTCCATAACTTGAAACCTCAAATTCTGAAACATGGACTCGTACCGTCAAGTACTTTTCTATCACCGTGGTCATGTAGCCCTTGAGTTGGTCCTTTCCTAGAATTTCTCGTCCTGTAGCCCATTTTTGCTTTCCCCACTTACGACTCAAAAGTGCATAAACTTTTCCTTTTCTCACTATCCTGCAGCCTATCAACGCTTTTTGTAAATGCATCCGAACTTTGTCTTAACGTATCCTCGACGACGTTCCTAAAAATCTCCTCCCTCGATTCCAGCATCCTGAAGCTCCTAGCTCGAATCGCTCTGCCGTTTCGTCAGATAAAATTCATCTCCCGCGAGAACAACAAGTCTCCAGTTTTACGCGCTCAAATTTTTGCGCAATCTCTAAATCCACTCGTGCTAGTGGCCCGCTCGATTAAGCTGGATAATCGTGACCCGGCATAAACCAATCGTTCAGTCATTAACTTTGCTCTGTGCATTTGTTGTTAAAACTTTGTTGTTAAAACTTCGACTTGATCCTAGCCGATCCTTCATATTCGGCGTCAACCAAGATTGATTTCATCCTTGGAGCGGATTTGTATGGACCCCTGCTGCGCGACGAATTGCGCCATAGGGTCCCGGGAGCTCCCATTGCTCAAAAGACAGCTCTCGGCTGAATCCTCTTCGAACCGCTATCATGCGGCCCTGCCACACAGCCGATCGAGCCGGTCTCGTCAATTACATCGCTTCACATGCACTGCAATTCCGACCTTGGCTCATTAATTAAAAAATTCTGGGAGTTAGAAAAAATTCCAGATATCCACATTCTCTCAGCTGATGAGGAAGAGTGTAGCGTCATTTCCGGGAGACGCATCGACGCGCCAGTGAAGGACGCTACATAGTGCGGCTGCTGATGAAGACGACGCCTCTGCCGGACCTTCGCAGCTCTGAGAGGACGGCTCAGCAACAATTACAGCAGCTAGAGCGCCGACTTGCGAAATCGCCACAAGTCGCAAACGCGTACTCCGCCTTCATGAACGAGTATGCGAATCTTCGTCACATGGAAGCAGCAAACGACAGTTCGCTCGATGGCCAATCTTCTTAACGTAGTTTCTAACCATCTTTTCCCGATTCGCCCCGACCAATACACTGAAAAGGAAATCAATTGCTAGAAAATTCATGGTTTAATTTTTCTCAACCTGACCTCAAATACATTACTGTAAAATGTAGTCAAGAGATTGAAGTATGCACAAACTGAACGAATAGCGCTGGAAAACCTTAATATAAAAAATAAGTTTATGAAGCAATGAGAAAACCACAGAATTTCTCGTCAATTTTAAAATTTGATTACATGAACACATTGAACTTATGACAGTAAATGATTGAACCATAATTGGAGAGAAAATTTTATATTGCGGAACGAAGTGACAATTTTGCAATATGATATTATATGCAAAGAAGTTGTAGCGTATTTCTCGACGGTCGAACAGCCTCGCTACAGCCCAAAGTAAATTTAAATGGCCAATATTTCGTTATATGAATTCTCTGACAAACGTTACACATGGAGGGAAAGGGGAGGAGGGAGGTGAGTCATTCGGAAAGCATTTGAGTCCGTCGACACTCAATCTCGGCGGTAGCACGATGACGGAGGGTCTGTGCGAAAAGGAGACTGCATACTTGTATCTCTGTATATCCGTCCTGAAGGCCGTGTGTCCGATTGAGATAGCTTATTTGATGCACTATCCATCTCATAGAACAGGACAGACTTATGCGTCCGGGCTTCGAGTCCTGACCACCCGGTAAAAAGGCTTGAATACAATAGGATTCAATGTCTCACAGTTTCAACGTAAAAGTGATGATTTTTCTATTCTATTTAATACCTGATTTTTCTCTCCAGGTCCAATTCCCACAGCAGGATTATATTTTCTGTGAATCAATTATAATCTATTCTCCTTTTGTACTCTGATTTTTGTGCAATTCCGAAAAGAGGAATATATTTCTGCTTTGTTTAATTCCTTCTAGTCCGGTAAGAAATGTCGATATTAAATTGTTTTGTATTCCGTTCAGAGGAATACATTATAGGAATGCCTAATTCCTTCCAATTCCTTTAAAAAATTTGTATATTCAATTGCCTTGAATTCTTTTTTTGGAATATAAGTTTATAAGTTCAAATTTAAATCAATTCCACTTTATATACCCGAGAGATTAAGTAGTTGAATTCCAATATTTGAGATTGGTTTCAAATGTATTGTTTTCTCCTGAATTCCAAATATAAATTTGATTAAACCTCATGCATTTTAAAAAGTATTTACTAAATAAACATGAAATTTCACGTTTTTTATGTGCGAAAGTGAGGAGAAGGTATCATTGGAAAGAATTGTAAAAAATTGCCATTGTAATTTACGCAATAATTTGTTACGCCTTTAATGTCAATACACGGAAAGAAATAATTTTATTATAATTACTATAGCGACATGGTCAAAGTACTGTGGTAAATGAAACCGCACAAATAGTGAAATTTACCACATAGAATGATAAACGTAACCTTGCCAATAGGTACTGTGTCCATGGCGCTGGGCTTAAAAGGTGCAGTAGTAATCAACATTTCAAATGGTAATATTAACTTTATGAACAGCTTATAATAACTATAATAAAATACAAGGTTTATCTGGTAGCTGTAACCACAATTATGGTAAGACTTTACATATTGCAAGGTTACTCTAAACTTGCTTATGTAATTACGGAAACAATGGTTTGGCACCATTAGTTTCGACAGAACCACCAGATGGCCAAACTTCTCACAGGCGATGCAGACAGTTCGTTTGCATATAAGACCTGTTATTATTCCTTGCATTTATGTTATAATGACCCTACCCCTTCTCGAAGGAGAGGGAAAAGGGAAGTTATCATCGAGAAAGCATCCTTTTGAGCATAAAATATTATTTAACTACTTAAGGTAGAAATATATGAGGATACTGACAGGAACTTAAGTATAACGTACGTAATCATAAAAATCGAATTTTTTTCGTTTTTTTCTTTTTTTCCGTGGAAATAAAAAAATTTGTTTCAATTCCACAAGGAGTATTGAGATTCATATTCCTTTGCCTATTCCAATTCTCGTATTTTTGAATTCCTTCGAATCTCATTCCCCTCTATTTTTCAGGGTAAATTGATAGGAATTAGATTTTGCTTTTTTTTTTTATCGCCAATGGAATGAAGGGCAATGGAAAAATCAGGTATTCAGTGGAATTAAAATTTTTAATTCCAATGAATTCCACCCTTCTTACCGGGCAGGTAACGCTTTTGCGTTGGCGTGGCCGGCATGGTTCGCCTGCCGTCTAGGCACTCGAGGGGCGTGGCGTTCTCGTTTGTTTCTACGGGTCGCCATGGCCTCGTGCTTCTATTACCACTCTCAAAACTGCGGTCTCGGGCCTTTCACCCCCTGTTGCGAGGGGCTGGATGTCGGTTTCCCGATAAGCGGATTATTGTTAATGTCTTCGCGCCGGCGATGAAGACTCTCTTTTTACCCCGGGCTACGGCCTCGTTCCTTCTGGAACAGTGTTCTCCCTTCCTCTCTTACGGGTCTTATGTCTCCCGACTTCGTTCTCGCTCAGACTCGTTCACCCGCAGGCCTTATCGCCCCTTTCTTCCATAGCTCGCAAGGTGGATTGTCATTTTGCGACGACCGCGATCATGTAATTGACAGAGGGAAAGGAGGATCGATTCCTTAGCGAGAACTGTCGTCCCGAATAAACTATGCCGTCTACGCGTAACTTTAACCTTTCGTCGTCCTTGTTTTGTTAAGACATGCAAATTTACAAACCACGTGGAAACTGAAAAATGATGAAATTTCAGAGTTCCGTGGTTTAAAATCAAACAAATTGACGGCATTGACATTAAAGCAAAATGATAGAAAGAGAAATTTTGCGAAAAACGTAAACTGAAATAAGCACAGTAAATAGAGGAAACACGATTGGAAATAAAATTGTATATTTTCGAAGGAATTGACATTCGTGCATTATGATATTATATGCAAACAAGTTGTAGCGTATTTCGCGACGGTCGAACAGCCCCGCTACAGCCCAAAGTAAATTTAAATGGCCAATATTTCGTTATATGAATTTTCTGACAAACGTGACACGTGGAGGGAAAAGGGAAGGAGAAGACCAAAAATAAGTTTCCCGTCGCCGGGGCCGGCTCGGNTAAATTATTATTTAACAAAAACTACGTTAGGTGGGTCAGGGACGCTCCACAGTAATACTAAAATAATTTTCATTAATTGTTTTTGTTTATAAATATTTATTTTCTTTAGGAAATCCTTTCTGCCCCTCGAGCGATTGAATTCCGCGCTGCTCCCGCCGCTAGTACGCTGCGCGGCCGGAGAGGGCAGTGCGAACCAGGTGCAAGCCATCGATGAAGTCCAGTGTATGCTTTACCATTTCGCTTAAAAATTTTGTCGAGTCAGTTTACATGAATAGTCTCGCATTTTCACCACCAAAAACGTTACGTGATACTGCCAGCTACTCGTTTTTCACATTTTCGCTCGAATTGCTTCACGTAATAGACCCCCTGTCTAATTTCCTCAACCTACCCCCACTCTTACTATGGCTATGTCTATAAGCTGTAGGGTATAAAGGACTACGCGAAAAATGGCAGCAGGCGTGTTGAGAGTCCTGTTGCGAAATTCAGCAATACTTTCAACAGAAAGAAAAGAGCTGCTGCAATGTGGGGGATCATTGTATTGTATGATGTAAGATTTAATGTATTAACCAATATGCATTTTTATATTTATTGTAAATGGGATATTATATAATAGAATTCTAACCTATGCAGCATTATTTTTGTATGTAGCTTATTTTGTGTCTTTAATTTCCCGGCATATTTGTAATTGTACAAATATTTTTGGAATCTATTAATGAAATTTAATTAGCCAACAACGTGGACAAAAATGGTACCCAGACAAGGCTTATTTGGAGACCTTTACACGACCAGCCATAGTCGTTCCAGAGGAGTTTAGCGAATGGAGAGTTCGAACCGTTGACAAAGGACCAAGTTTTATATGTGATATAAAAAACATAAAAGTTAACTTCGGTCCTCAACACCCTGCTGCCCATGGTGTACTACGATTGGTACTAGAGCTGGAAGGTGAAACTATCGTAGCTGCCGATCCTCATATAGGGCTTTTGCACAGGGGAACAGAAAAACTTATAGAGTATAAAACCTACATGCAAGCATTGCCATACTTTGATCGATTGGATTATGTGTCTATGATGTGCAACGAGCAATGCTTTTCCATGGCTATTGAAAAATTACTTAACATTGAAGTACCCTTGCGTGCTAAATACATTCGGAGTAAGTTATTCAATGTTATATATGTTTCTGTAATGTCTGTTTTATGAAATATTTGATTTATATTTGACCTTAAACAAGCAACAGAAATTATTCTGCTATTAACCCTTAGCACTCCGTAAGTTTTGTAACTTTATGACGAATGTCTCCATAGCAGAGCCAACGGAGTGCTGAAGGTTAAATTTTATCTAAAGATATTAATTGTTATGCTAATTATATATTAGCAGGTTCGATTGGAAATAAAATTGTATATTTTCGAAGGAANGTAAAACTCCAGAAATCCTCTGGATTCAAGCTTTCTGGGGCCCCAATTGACTGCAGAGGGACACCCTGCGCCATCTGTGATTTCCAGGTCAATTAAATTTTTCACTCCGAGACCTCAATTCTTTACATATATTTATTTTTTCATCTAGCGCTGTTTGCCGAAATTACTCGTATTTTGAACCACATTATGGCAATTGGCACTCATGCTCTCGATATTGGAGCCCTTACACCATTCTTCTGGCTCTTTGAGGAGCGTGAGAAAATGATGGAGTTCTATGAGCGCGTAAGCGGTGCTCGCATGCATGCAGCTTATATAAGACCTGGTGGTGTCGCCTTGGACATGCCACTTGGTTTAATGGATGATATATATGAGTTTGCATCTAAATTTTCTGAAAGACTGGATGAAGTGGAAGATCTTTTAACAGAGAATAGAATTTGGATCGAAAGAACAACTGATATCGGAGTAGTCTCTGCTGAAGATGCTTTAAATTTTGGTTTCAGTGGAGTAATGCTACGAGGATCAGGTATCAAATGGGATTTAAGGAAAACTGCACCTTACGATGCATATGATCAAGTAGAGTTTGATGTGCCAATTGGTTCGAAAGGAGATTGTTATGACAGGTTAGCATCATTTACCAAGTTTATTAATTTTCAGTAGTAGTATCAACATTATTAATGGCACCATTCAGCAATTCTGGATTTTGAGTTTTCAAATACTCTAAAAAGTGAGATAATAAGTGTCTACTGTATAGTATATACAATATTTATGTCTCTTTGTAATATAATATTTTAAATCATATAAATATTGTTTTAAACATTTTGTTTGTGATACTACCAAGACTTTATTTATTAGGTTATGAGAACTAAATTATTGGATAATGTTTCAATTGTAATTAAGAGAATGAATCTTGAGCAGTTTAGAGCATAATTATGATGTAACATGCTTAATAACTTAATTGCATTTTAGGTACCTATGTCGTATGGAAGAAATGCGACAGTCTTTGCACATAATACATCAGTGCCTTAACAAAATGCCAGCTGGTGAAGTGAAAATCGATGATGCTAAAATTGTTCCTCCAAGTCGCCACGAAATGAAGACCAGTATGGAAGCTTTAATTCATCATTTTAAATTGTTTAGTCAGGGATTTCAAGTACCACCTGGTGCTACATATACAGCTATTGAGGCTCCGAAAGGGGAATTTGGAGTATATCTTGTAAGCGATGGTAGCAGTAAACCCTATCGCTGCAAAATTAAGGCTCCTGGTTTTGCTCACTTAGCTGCCCTTCAGAAAATAGGTGTTAATCATATGCTCGCTGATATTGTGGCGATCATTGGTACCTTAGATGTAGTGTTCGGTGAAATTGATCGATAGGATTTTACTATTTATCACAATATGACATTTAATTATAATCCAGTCGCATTGCATTAGTTACAGTTCCAATTATAGAAAATTAGAAAATGATGTAATATATGCAGAAGGAATAAATAAAAGAAAATGTTAATGCTAATAGTTCAAGTTACTAATATAAAGTGTAAATGAGGTAATATAGGCATGCAAAAATTGTAGTTGAATTTATTTTAATTTATTAACTTTAATTTATTGACTTTCTTTTACGTATTGGTAACATAAGTATTAGAAATTAATCTTCATAATTACCAAAATTAGTGCATATCCCTAACAATATAAAGATTAGAAATTTTAATAATAGCTTTCCTGATTTTTTATTTATAAGTGGAATGATAGTCTAATCAAGGTTGAGAAATTTAAAACGATTGTATTATAAGTTTCATTATAATTGACAGTAAAGATCATAGACTATAAATTATTGTAAATACCACAAAGTTAAAGAGCTAACAGTACTTACAAGTAGCGTACATTTACATTAGATGCAATAATAATAATTTTACTTTTAAAATGACTTGAATGGTGAAATGATGATTACCTGATGTATGTATTATAAATAATTTATTAAATTGAACATTTTTTTACATAAGAAAATTGTAAAAAAAGTTTTGGGCTTAGTTAAAAAATACATGTACGGCATTATTTTACCTTCATAATATAGCATGGCAATTTTGGTAAAATGGTCAGTTAACTTTACATGTCCATTTAATGACATTTAGTGATAGGTATGAGACAAGATTTTAAAAACAACATACATCGTGTTAATATAAAATGCATATTCAGTTTAGGAGGATAAAGAAATTTTTCCAGTAAATTAAAAAACCTGTTAATGTAAGAGAGCAGTTACATGCATGCTCAAATCCAAAAATAGAAGCATATTATTAGTTAGCTCTAATCATTTAATTTCGTAGAAAATATATAGAATGATTATTGAGCGAAATAACATGTCGCTACGTTACACAGTATATATTTACTGATCGCATTTAAGATGATATGAAAGGCGCTGAGAAATTTAATCGACGTCGATAAACTAAAGTTCATCTATACCCCTTTAGGTGGTAATGCCATTTTGAATACTCTAATGCATCAATGGCGCCATCTGTGACACTAGCTGCAATTAATTTTTTGCTTTAAAAACTCGTTTTCAAAATTTGTGTAAACACTCGACTAATATTTGGATACGCGTGTAACCAAACCAGAGTAACCAATTTGTTGACTGAATAAATTACATTTAATTGAAAGTTTGATGAAGAAATAACATCTTTCTTTCGATGTACAGAGGAGAAGGTGGTGCCCGAATTTTTCACGTGATATATATTTATATCGTTATAAATACGTACATCTTCACCAAGCTATTCCTTTCTTAGTTAAAAAATAGTTACTCAGGTCCACTTATACATACATTAAAGTTATTACTAAACTGTTGAGATGTTTTAATCTTGCGATACTGTGAGAACTAAATTTTTGGGTCTCAATGGCCGTTAATCACAGTATTATTAATTTTTTTATCCAATTATTGTTAATTGATAGTATATTATTATACATTTACGCCTTTCCTCAGTTAAGGTGAAGTGAAACACGTCGAGGAACTTGATCAACGTCGACAAAGAAGATTTTTCTAAACACCTACGTTGCCGACGTTCGTTTTTATATTGACAGCTGTGTCGAATAACATTGAATATTGTACCAAATGGCATACTCCACCTGTCGTTTTCGTACAATAAATATCAAGAAATCGAAGTAAAACTCCAGAAATCCTCTGGATTCAAGCTTTCTGGGGCCCCAATTGACTGCAGAGGGACACCCTGCGCCATCTGTGATTTCCAGGTCAATTAAATTTTTCACTCCGAGACCTCGCATTCCCATCGTTTTAGCATAGAAGCGCATACAACACTTTTTTTGCCCTTATCCTGTTCAAATGCGAGTTTATCGATTACCAGAGTGTTCTAAATTGTCGTAAAATTGTCCTGACCCTTTCGATTCTCATATCAGAGCCTTCGATAATTGTATATTGATCGAAATATGAGAGCTCGATGCCATTTTGGTTCTGGTCTGGGCTGAGTTAAAAAATTTTGTTAAAAAATTCAAATTTTGAATGTGTCAGGACAATTCATACATGATCAGGAGTGATGTGTCAAAGTTTCGGACAGTTTGGTCTAATACCCTTAAAAAAAAGTGTTGTATTCGAATCGACTGATTTAAAGGGTGTTTCACTTCACCTTAAGATATTCTACAGCACTAACTGGAAGAATCTTGCACCCAATGTGAGGTGCCCGTTAATATTTGATATTATGGAATACATTCGTTTACTGTCTTCCCAGAATTTCCATGATCTATTTTCAATATTTGTATTTTGTTTTGTGAATTTCTTTATCCGCGTGTAAAATATAACGGAGCATGACAATTTACTTCTCAAGCCAAGTAATTCTGAAGATTCAATGAATAATGTGTATTTCGCATTGTCTATAAATTCAAAAGTTGTAAACGAAATCGATGAGGAATACGGATCCACAGATTAAATACCATTCCATTTATTAAACTTTTAATAACCTGTCCTTGATATCTCGTACGTGACAAATTGTATGTACAATTTCTGTTATGTATATAAGTATGTTGACGAACATGAAAGCCTTTTTTTATGGATATTCTGCCGTCAGGGCATTAATTTGCGGTCAAATAATTGAGGAATATGGTATCAATGTATGATAAAAAGGCGTTTATTCTGCTAATGCGCTGTATTCCCACCTTGCAACTGCACATTATAGCCCGAAACATTTGTTTTCAAAAAAGAATATTAAAGGAATGCTGGCGAAATGCCTTTGTTACGGATATTCTACCGTCAGGGCATTAATTTGCGGTAAAATACATTGAGGAATATGGTATCAATGTATGATAAAAAGGCGTTTATTCTGCTAATGCGCTGTATTCCCACCTTGCAACTGCACATTATAGCCCGAAACATTTGTTTTCAAAAAAGAATATTAAAGGAATGCTGGCGAAATGCCTTTGTTACGGATACTTTACCGTCAGGGCATTAATTTGCGATAAAATAATTGAGGCACAAGGACGTGAAGCACAAAGGAAAACCATGTAATTTAATAAATATTTAATAAATAGTAAATAAAACAATTGTTTTCTTAAACTTGATTGCTCATACTTACAAGATAGTAAAATTACGACAAAATAAATGCAACATTTAATGCAAGCACAAAGGAAAACCATGTAATTTTACATTGTTCTAATGTAGACTAATGGATATGAATGCCTTCTATTCATAGATCAGCGGCATATCCACATATCCTTTGTACCTTTTGTTTCGAATTTTTTTCAGAAATTATTTATAAAGCTATAAATATCAAATATTTGAAAATTAGCATGCAATTTTGTAAACTCATTGTCAGAAGAGCCATATTTAAAACATGTTTTAGAGTTCAATAATTTGTTCTTATTCTTTTTTATAGGTTCATAGAAAAAAATGTACAATGTTGCAATTACTAGAAAACTGCTATTTTCTTTAGTGAAACACATAAATGAAAATTATATTTTTTTTCACCCGAACGATGGAACATATTTGTCGATTAAATATTTAACGAAACACACGTAGTTATGATAATCATAAAATTTACCAAAGTATACAAAATTGTAAGAACAGAATATTTTAATGCATTGTAATTAAATTTAATGGTTACACTGAAGGATAAATTTAGTGAAATTAACTTATTTTCTGAACTACAAATGTAGTAAGAGTTGCAATATTCTTTTACTTTTTGGAAGTAATAAAATAAACAATTATATTTTTATTATAGTTTTCTAGTAACGATAACAGAGCTTTGAGATAATGAAATAATGAAATGGTGGAGTAACCTTCGTGTAAAGCTGAAGTGCCATTTACCACAATGAAGCAAAAGGATATTACGACTTAAATGTAAAAAAAACAGTAACGAGTTTTATAGAAACGAACTATCCACGTTACTTGCGAGAGAGCCCTGCCATCTATCGGTCCTGTCGAAACTAACTTGAACAAAGACATTAATAACAGTACAAACTAGAAGTTGATATAACCAACCTGCATTAAGTACAAAGTTCATTTATTATAGTATAAACAAATTGAAACATAATCTTTATAGTTAAATAACCATGGTAACTGATCCTATAATTTATGAGTTACGTTTCCGATGGTTTCTATTACTAAATTCTCTTATTAGTATAACATCGCAAATAGTTCTAGGAGCTGTAAATTATAGTTTCATCTACTATTACCGATTGGCAAGTTTTTTTACTACAGCTAAATGTTTGTTTCTTTTTTTAGTGATACCGTACGGATCATTCCGTTGATACATTCAAAAGTTATGCCTATTTTCACGAGATAATTAAAATGTAATATTGAAAGGACAAAAAGAAAAATAGAGAAAGGAGGAAAATATGCAAAGGCTGTTTTAAGCTGTTTTCGTGATAATTAAAATGTAATATCGAAAGACAAAAGCAGAAGTAGAGACAAGAGGGAAAGATGCGAAGCTAGTCGTTGAGTGTTGCAAAAATTGCGCAGTTCTAGACCTCGTTGATGCGCACGCTCCCCCGTGGTCCCTTTGTGTTATTTTCGGCGGAATTACCGTTCGAAGTTTTAAATAGGACCGACTTTACGTCGAAGAAGGCAGTTTAGCAGCACTACTTCTACACATGCTGAAGCATCACACTGTCTTCGACGTAAGTAAACAAAACTTGAAGAAGATATGTCAAAGTGCGGAGACCACTTACGTCCGAAATTGACATCTTTTTTTGACTTGCCATCGTGACTTCTACAGCTACGGAGACGCTTTTAGCAGTCATCGGCCCCGTTTGGCACAGTGCTGTGATTTTTAATTAATGTACAAGATAAATTCTGTCGTAGACTATGGAAATTGCATAACAAAGAGCCCCGTAGAGTCGGCCATAGTGTTGATGCACGGTAGTCTTAAATTCAAATAATTTGAAAATATGGTTTTTATCTTAATATCGGTTTGCTCCAAACCTTGGAAGCCTTGGAATACGGTCGCAGTCGAGCTCAAGGCATTGTCCGTGTAAATTTTTATTAACTAAACCGTACAAACTATACAACCTAGATTGATAATATGACGTACGGCGTTAACGAGGCGTCCTTGTCTGACAAGCTCGATGTGTACCACATTTGGCATGCAATAGCAAATTTAAACGATTCAAAGGGTCGTCTGACGTGTTGCAACACATAAAAGAAAGCAAAACTCCATCATTAACTACCTTTATTTTCTAAATGGTGAATAGTACCGGTAGTCGATTAATAATAATTAAAGTGGATATTCAGTATATATTAATTTTCTTTCAACATATGCTTGAGATATTTTTTATGCTTAAAAAACACCGTTTTTATTGTTAAAAATTCTGATTTCACATTAGTAAATGAGGATTTCAGTTAAATATGATCAATACAGATATTAATATTCTTTAATAATTCTGAATGACTTTGTTAAAATTGTAGAAATACTGAATAATGTAATTTCACATACTGAAGTGCTATTTAAACGGTAATTTTCTTGGTAAGTTTTATTTTACTTACCGTTGACAATTGCTCTTTCCATTAAGGTGAAGTGAAACTCCCTTTAAATCAGTCGATTCTAATACAACACTTTTTTTTAAGGGTAAAAGACCAAACTGTCCGAAACTTTGACACGTCACTCCTGATTATCTAAGAATTGTCCTGACATTGAGAATTTGGATTTTTGAACAAAATTTTTTAACTCAGCCCAGACCAGAACCAAAATGGCGTCGAGCTCTGATATTTCGATCAATATACAATTATCGAAGGCTCTGATATGAGAAACTAAAGGGTCAGGACAATTTTACGAGAATTTAGAACACTCTGGTAATCGATAAATTCGCATTTGAACGGGATAAAGGCAAAAAAAGTGTTGTATGCGCTTCTATGCTAAAACGATGGGAATACGAGGTCTCGGAGTGAAAATTTAATTAACCTGAAAATCAGAGATGGCGCAGGGGGTCCCTCTGCAGTCAATTAGGGCCCCAGAAAGCACGAATCCGGAGGATTTCTGGAGTTTTACTTCGATTTCTTTATAATTAATGTACGATAACGACAGGTGGAATATGCCATTTGGTACAATACCCAATATAATTCGACCCAGCTGTCAATATAAAAACGAACGTCGGCAACGTAGGCATTTAGAAAAATCTTCTTTATCGACATCGATCAAGTTTCTCGACGTGTTTCATTTCACCTTAATGTTCTGCCGTTTCTTTCGTTCCGCGTAACGTGCATGCATAATTCAATAGTTTAAACTTGCATATACATTGTATTATTATTCTTTATTTTTCTAAACGTATCAAAATAGAATCAAGAAATTTTAATGACCAATCCTTATGTGCAAAAATCGAAACAAGACATGCCACGGATGATTCTAGTTTAAGGTTTTACTGGTGGGGGAAAATGTGGATATTTCTGATACAAACTTTAAACAAATGTTTCTTTTATATGAGTACGTAAATTGAACACGAATTTATTAGACATATGAACTAATTTGTACCTTTCATGAAATGAAAACAATCTTCATTTACAAAATATGAATCAAGAAACTCGGTAAAGTTTCGAGTCTAATACCCTCCTAAAAAAAACACCTTCATGCAAAAAAAAACATTGACATGTACAAGGTTGCGACAAATGTTGCTTACAAAAATCGCTGTTTCTGGTTTACATTAGGTTTCTGCAAAAAATTACTGAAATTATATCAGTGCCAAGTATGTATATCACTTCATATCTTCTTTTCTATTCTAAAATACCTTCTTTCTATAGCATTCAACATTATGTCTGACACTTTGTAGATTTACTATTTTTTGGCGTTACTACTGCAGCAGCAATTGTTTGTCATTTAATAGTTACTTACTAATATGTTAAACGCTAAGGGATTCCTTATCGAGGATAACTTATCAGATCGGTAATCAACAATTTTACGATACTTCTTCGACCGGACCAACACATTGTTAAAATTACTCATTTGTTGTCAATAAGGCCTTTATAGTAATTATGCATCAGAATTCAGTACTGACAATACAAGCGTTATTATCCCGGTCAAGATTAGATTTTGTTTTTTTCTTTTATCACCAATGGAATAAAGGGCAAATGAAAAATCAGGTATTCACCGGAATTAAAATTTTTAATTCCAATCAATTCCAACCTTCTTAGCGGGATATTTTCTTTCACTTCTATATATCTGAGAAATATACAACCACCATTTATCATCTGTTACTGAATTTTTCAAAGAACAGTGTAATTCTTTCAATGACGTTATGCTTGTAATTACCCACTTCGCGAAATCTTAAACTTACACTTCAGCTTTGTTATTTGGAATCATGTGAAAATATTGGGTACCGACTTCTCAAGTTGCTCTTGATAAGGAATCACTCAGCGTTTATCGTATTAATAAGTGACGATTAAATGACAAATATTTGATGCGTAGTAGTGACACAAAGAAGTAGTGAATCTAAAGTATCGAATATAATGATGAGTCATATGGAAAGAATATATTTTAGATTAGAAGTGTAGCAGGTGAAATTACCGAAGGCCAATCTACTATTGACAAGTCTATATTTTGTAGATTTACAGAAATACTAATTGACTTATAGTTCAAAACCAGATGTATAACCGTTCAAAGAGTCGTATATAAAATGGATCCAAGTGCTCCGTTCTAAGATCCTTGACCAAGTGCCGTTCCGTCCACTGTTCGTAGGGACAGTCTTAGTCTAGCCGTATCAATTGTTTAGACAATGATCATATCTTCTAAACAATGCTCGCGTTTCCTCGCCCATGATTCTTGGAATAGGCCCGCCCATGGACCTCCAATCATTTTGCCTTTGTCTTTTCGAATTATTTTCTTCACGTAGTAAAATTTGAAACGAACCAGTACCCCCAATCTGGAGAATACTCTGTCCAACGATTTGATTTCACAGATTGTAGGAGGTGAAATTACCCAAAGCGAATCTACTATTGACAAGTCTATATTTTCCGTAGATTCACAGGTATGGTTATTTGACTTATTGTTAAAGCAGATGTATAAAGAATGGATTCGTGCGTTCCGTTCTGCGATCCTCGACCAAGTGCCGTCCCGTCCACTGTTCGTAGGGACAGTCTTGGTCTAGCCGTATCAATTGTTTAGGCAATGATCATATCTTCTAAACAATGCTCGCGTTTCCTCGCCCATGATTCTTGGAATAGGCCCGCCCATGGACCTCCAATCATTTTGCCTTTGTCCCTTCGAATTATTTCCTTCAGAAGAGAGGATATTAATCCCTTGACATACAATACCGTCTGGGAGACGTCATCATTTCATGTGCCATTCTAGACTTTGACGTCTCCGAAACGTCAAGAACTGCCTCTGGCCAAATTAAATAGTATTTTTCGGACGCATCAAATTCCGTTTTATTTGAATGTCAAGGGGTTAAGGTGGAGAGAAACACGTCGAAAAATTTGATCGACTTCACTAACACGGATTCTTCTAAGTACCTACGTTACCGACGTTTGTATTTGTATTGATAGTTTTTTAGTATTATATTCGGTATTGCACTGAATGGCATGCTTCATATGTCGTTTCCGTACAATAATTATGAAGAAATCGAAGTAAAACTCCAGAAATCCCACAGATTCATGGTTTTTTATGCCTTAATTGATTGCAGAGTGCCACCCTGTGCCGAGACTTTATGTTACCTTCGGTTTAGCATAGAAGTACATAAGACACTTTTTTGCCCTTACCCCGTTCAAATATGAGTTTCTCGATTACTAAAGTGTTCTAAATTGTTGTACAATTGTCTTGATACTTTCGTTTCTCATATCAGAGTTTTTAATAATTATGTATCGATCGAAATATGCGAGCTGGGCGCCATTTTAGTCCTGAGCTATACTAAAAGATTTTTGTCGAAAATCCAGATTTTGAAAGTGTCAGGATGGTTTTCAGATAATCGCGAGTTACGTGTCAAAGTTTCAAGCAGTTGGTTTCAATATTCTTAAAAAAAATACCTTCTTCGAATCGACTGATTTGAGGAGAGTTTCACTTCATTCACGACGTTACAGGTCGGTATCGTGTCGCCTCTGTCGGAATCGGACGGAGATGTAAATCCGCGCGTATAGTTATTCGATGTCACTTCCTGCGAATCGGTTTGAGAGCCTATGTGTAGGCGGGTTTCTTCCCTTCCTACGACTGATTGTGCTCTATTGTCTGGCCTTATGAAGGCTCACGCACCTGCGGGAGACGTGGGCCCTAGGTAGTCGCGTAGTGGCCGCGACGCGTACTAATCGGTTAGCGCCACACTTGTGGGAGTCGGGCGCCGCGCTACGGAGCTCGGCCGCACTGTTTGTATGACTCGTGTGGCAGGTCTAGTCCCTCCACTTTGCGGTGAGGGAGGCTATCGGAGAGTTTTTAGTGGGTACAAACCTCACACTACCTTCGCTCTCCCCCAAGGAGCAGAAATATCCGTCAGGAATTTTCTCCTCGTGGACAAAAAAGGATAAATGCCCCTTCGCCCCTATCTAGCGGCAAGGACGCCTCCCCAGGTTGGCGAGGGTTATTTCGTCCTCGATCTCGCCGTGGCTTTCCGATGCTCGGTGTGATCCGTCTCATCAAATCAGAGTACGTGACTCCCTCCCGGCACGGTGGAACTGCCAACGTTAGCGTCGCAGCCCTGAGCGGACGGTTCAAGGGTGTGCCTCGCTTGGGTTCCTTCCTTTTCTTATTGGGCCAGGGAACCTCTGCTTTGAGACTTCCCACCCCCTTCAGGGCACCCCGGATACCCCTACGGGCCACCTGGGCCCAGGTAACTCCTTCCTGCAAGGTACAGGATACTTGCAGTAATACACGAATCTTTAAATATATATTCAACAACGAGAAACAAACGAACAACGAGCCGCGGCTGAAACCTTGGGAAGGTTACTCAGGGTGGGACCTTGACAATATATATCAAGGCCAAGGTCATCGGAGGTGCGTCTCCGAAACCCCATAATTACACAATTACTTTGTTAATAACTTTTTAACAAACAATGAGCAACAGCTAAAACCTTGCGGAGGTCACTCAGCAGGGTTACCTTGACACCATATGTCAAGATCAAAGTCATTGGAGATGAATTACACTCATACAGAGAATCTTCATATATACATATTGTATTTCAACATCTCTACTAGCTGGTATAATTTCCTTTAACGAAGATGAGCAATGACCTGTCCATGAATCTAATAGTAACACATTACGAGGTCCGGTGTTTGGTAAGTACACTTGTGTAAGCCATTCATGGAAAAGTGCCGTTGTTAATTTTCCAGAAGTTGATGCCGCGAGATAAATAAATTCGACATCTTGAAGTCCTAAAGTTCCACTTTGTTCTTTTAATACAATGAATAATGGCGAAACATGTTTACCTGAAGCGGATATTATAGGAAGTATAGTATAGCTATGGGTGATAGCAGATAATGACTGTACTACACCTTCAACCGTTTTTGATCCTTGTATAACTAATGTTCGATCAGAATGCAATTCCAAAGTGAACCCGCTTTCCTCGGCATTAAATATATTATCCGAACCATAGTTTTGTATGTACGGTTTTACACTGTTTACAAAATTTGAAGCAATTTCATCTAATTTCGCAGTATCTCTACCGGTTGATCGACTTATAACTTTATTAATTTTCCGAGACACTATTTTATCCATTCTTTTAAAATTCCAAGTCCCAGTGCTTTGACGCTTTGAAATTCTGCAGTCCTACTTCTTCATTGGCTTGCAATGCCCATTTCCGCAAATCTAAATCGTGAATATCGGTATTCGTGATAATCGGTGGTACTACATCGTCGACAAATTCAATCGAATGCGGTCTACAAGATTCTAAAAACTCCAGGGTCACGTCGTTTTCCATTGAAACCTTGTTGACTTCTTCTAATTACATCGCTCAAAACATCATGCAATTCCGTTTCATGACTATTAGGAAATGTTTGCGAATAGGGTGTAAAACCCTATGTTTTCATCAGCAGAAGAACAACAGTTACAGGGTTTATTAAAACCATTTTCATGAATGACTGTCAGCCAGGACGCTCTACGCTGCACTCTTTAGAATTGACAATGTCGCGAAAAATCCAGTACTTATACCCATAATATTCATATTATCGTATGGGATTAATGAAACAAATAAGATAACAGTAGCCAAAATAATACGGTATGCAATGATGAGTGCATTGCGCAACGGGACTTGATGTACTTTTGTCATTCCAATTGCGACAAGCGAAAAAACAAGTTTTTTGTTCTATTGTATCTGTGGATAAGTCACATGTATAGTATATGTTTTCACTTATATTATGTGACAGTTACTATATATTGTCCATATTTAATAGATTTCGTTCCATATGAATTGGTACGTATTACGAAATTAGTTGGTGTCACATATAGTGAATCGAAACTATATTACGAAAATCTGAAAATCATTTGTCCTTAAGAAGGGGTTTTCCACAATTAACGGTGAATTTTGTTAACAACAAAAATTGTGTCGGGGCTGCGTTGTTATATTTTCAAAATAATATTTCACGAAGTAACCAAACTGATAAAAATTGTTAATTACAATTTTGCATTAACTTCTTGCAATTGTTTTAATTTTTTAATTTTTTGTTTCACCCTGTGATAACCCTTATTAAGAGAATGATCATTTATTGGAAACATTTTGCCGTAACTCTCATCGTTTGCGAGAAATAAAACGAAAACTGAAAATCGAATAATTTTTAGGGGATCGCCCCTTTAAAATGATTTTCCGCCGAGAAAAAAAAATTGTTTGTGACTCACCTAGGCACGCTCTAAATATCCCTCAAGTTTCAAAATTTTTGGAATTTCCGGGTTGGGGGACTTCCCTTGTAAGTTAGTTGATACCTCTGAGTATCCAGGATCCAAAAATTTGAATTTCGTCTGGTAAAATTTTTATCGGACCCTGTTTCGGCGTTTCAATTCCCACCGGCTCGACCGTGTGGTCAGGACATGGGATTACGTGGCCTATCGTAGAAACGAATCGGCTACAACAATATGGTCGCAATTCAAACATTCTACCATTAAAGCATTTATTTAACGGCGTTCACCACCAAAGTGGGGACGATGACTTCCACCGCTAGATGATATTAGCATCGAATTCGGTGGGAGGTAACCAAAATGTACTTTCTCACTCGGATGAGGGAGACGCGACGCATAATGGGCGGTGTTTAGCAACGGGCAAAAAATGTGTGCATATTTTGCACGTATAGGACTCACACAACGGCTAGACGCCTCTGGACTAGGCGCCGAAACGTGGGTGACCCCCAGCCGCCCGCACTCGTCAGGTGGACGCACCGCCTAGAGTCGGCAACGGTTGCTAAGGAATGCCCAAATTCCTCGCGAGAAACTTGAAAATCCTGAAAAAGGTGCTCCACGGGGACAACGATTTTGAGCGTATTTCTCAACCGATCGAGCTCAACGAGTGCTCGTTTTAAAGATAAAATGTTGACGTGTGTTCATGTGGAAACGATTTTTGATCAAGCACCTCCTTCCTAGTTAAAGGGGCATTGAAATTATGTCGTTGCACTTTTTTATATGAATATGACCACGTATCGAAAATCGCTCCCATATAAACACAGGTCAACATTTCATCTTCAATATGAGCACTCGTTAAGCTCGATCGGTTTAGAAATACGTTCGGAATCGTTGTCCCCGTGAGTCCCTGCAAAATCGCTGGAGTGGTGAGCGCCCTTAAATGGAAACGAATGATAGGACGTTCTGATAACGGAACATTCAGTTGTGAGAGAGGTTGCGCTCTCAAATTCATGTCACTATCCCCGATTGAACGAAAACTCCGAAACTCCTTTACTGGTGCATCAGAAGACTTTAAGGACCAAAACGATAACATCAATTATTTGTTATTTTCAGATGCCGGCGGAGTGCATCTCCAACCCGTTGCAACGGGAATTGGCTGATTCGATTATTCGGATGCAACCTCTCGATGAAATTCGAATTTTACTAGCTTGTGGTGCTAAAGCCAACGAGCCAGTCACTCAAGGACTAAGACCTCTGCATTATGCCGTTTGGCAGAGGTACGAAGACGCAGCTCAATTACTCCTTGTGCGCGGTGCAGACATAAACGCGACTGACGAGTGCGGATATTCCGCTCTACATCTTGCGGCTGAACATGGGTACCTCAATTTGGTGAAATTACTTCTGAAGCATGGCGTTAAAGTGGATCACCGAGAGGACACAGGGGAACTTTTTCCTCGGTAAGGCTTTTTCGTTCACTTATCTTTATAAAAAAAGTACTACCAATGTTACTAGTGTTGTTACCAGTAATCTCATTAGTTTGCGCGAGGCGACAGGAAGCGTGGGTTGCGGTTCCGAATTGTCGAGGAGGCGGAAATGATGCTCACGAGCCGAGGAGCTCAATAAATCATTCCCACTATTGACGATGATTGATTCACTTTATTTTATTGTACAATAACGGACCCGGATGGGCTCGATTGATTTAATTTCAAGCACACAGGGTACGACAGTACAAACGCGAGGTCTTGCTGTTGGGAGTGTATTGTATGACACTTGTTTGATGCTGTGATCGAAGAAATTCTAATGGTAGCCGATACCGGAAAATGCTTGAGTGAAAATTAATCCCAAGAAAGCTCTCGCATAGTGACTCAAGTAACCCAATTCAGAACCTCACTATCGTCTACTGAAATTCAATGAAAAATGTATACTTACATTTTATAAAAGTAATTTTATTTTCAAAATCCGCGACCGATTGAAAATGTACTTCTACTGATTTATTATTCGTTTTACAAAATAAAATAAAATTAATAATGTATACAAAGAATATTTTTTTGCTTGTTGGTTCATACAGGACCATGCTGTGTGATGAGCCCTTGCGACTTGCGCTCCGAAATCGCCATATAGACGTGGCGAAAACTTTGCTGGAAGCTGGCGCTAATCCAAACAAGAGGTACTTCTTTGGGTCGGAGATCAACTTGGTATCACCTCTAGATTTAGAGTGTATGGAACTGCTGTTGGCCTTCGGTGCTCAGCCAAATACGCGAGATCGAGCAGGATTAACACCGTTGATGAAGGCAGCGAGATTACCGCAGGTAAAAAAAATATAGATATTTTTAAAATATTCAGAACAATCCTGCAACTCTAATTTCCATGCAATAAATTATTGCTCATTCCTTCCTTAAATATTGCTTAGTACCATTGATTCTTGAGAGATTTAAGTTTTAGTGCTCTTGCTTGTACAACTAATATAGTAATATCTATATATTCAGCTACAACACACTTATGGAATATTCATACATTTGTTCGTAACACTTATCAGACTATATGTCATACATCATTATTAATGTTGACAATCATTATTAACGTGATACCAATGTGTGAAAGTAAAATCAAATACTCTCACGTACTCGCTTGGCGTACTGTTACGTCTGGAAAAAGGGTAAAAGGATGTTGGAATTCCGTGAGAGGAAGGAAAGCCGCACAAAGGCTTCGCGCCTTCCTTCACGATTAAAGAAAAGGAAGGGAATTCCGTGAGAGGAAGGGAAGCCGCACAAAGGCTTTGCGCCCTCCTTCACGATTAAAGAAAAGGAAAGGAAAAGAATTCCGTGAGAGGAAGAGAAGCCGTACAAAGGTTTCGCGCCCTCCTTCACGATTAAAGAAAAGGAAAGGAAAGGAATTCCGTGAGAGGAAGGGAAGCCGCACAAAGGCTTCGCGCCCTCCTTCACGATTAAAGTAAAGGAAAGGAAAATGGGAAATGGAAATCTTGTGGGCCTCTCAGCGAGTCCTATGCGGACTTATCGATATTGGTGTAAAGAAAGGAGAAAAATGGAGATTCGCTTTACAAGGTTTATTGTATTTTTGAGAGTCATCGAATGTGTCTTCGAGAGTAACTTCGAGTAAGAGTTCGAAAAAAGGTTCTGTAATCTTATGATCGAGTCTAATAACTTGTAATCTTATAACTTCGGATCTTATGTCTGACTGTAACTTCTTATGACTGTAACTTTCTATGACTGTGACTTGTAACTCCTGATCTTATGACTTCTGTAACTTATGTCTTCTTCTAACTGACGCTCGCTGCTTAATCACTAGCTTTTATACTATTTCCACCCTCGACGCTTGAGTCCCGAAATTCCGGCAGTGGGGCATGAAAATGACTTAAGTCCCCGATGGTGGGGTTTGGAAAAATCGCCCATTGGAGGAAAGAGTTAAAACCATGTTTTAGGGAAAGAAGTAGGGTTAGGAAAAAAATCATTTATTGGAGGAAGGGGTTGAAAAATACGTTTTTAGGAAGAGGAGTTCGGAGCGAAGAATTTAGTAGAAGTGTCCTCGGGAGACGGAAGTTAATGTTTACTTTTCTGGGGACAGATTGTTAATGTCGCCGTTCTGCCGGGACTCGCGAGCTCACCCGTGCAAGGGTGATATCCGTCATCGCGGGGTCCCCTTGTCTTAAATATTTTGAATATTACGGGGAGCAGCTAGACTCGAGGTCTTCGGAACCCCTTTCGACTTATCTACTATTTACGTAGCGTGGTGACAGCCTGTCGCGAGAACTAAGATGGGGGGCCCTCGGTTGTCTGGATTGATAAGAATGAATTTTAGACTCGATGAGTCTATTACTTTGAAGAAGGAAAATCCTGGGCCTCCCGGGCTAGTTCGATACGCGGGCCGATGCACGCGCAGGGAGCGTTACGTGGGACGTAACAGTACACCATACCTTGGGATTAAGGTAATTTTTTATAGAGGTTTTCTATCACACGGTCTGGGCGGAGTAGCCAAGGCGCCTAGTCCCTCCGTGACCGCGAGACATGTCCACGGTAACATGAAGGAGTTACGGTACGACGGTGACGCTTGCGCTGACGTTGGAACATCACCGGTATCGTTATGCCCGTGTGCAATGCCCTCTGCCACAATATAACAGTTGGACACAGAGTGTGGTGCACTCTCATGCCCAATTTTTTCACCTACGGATACGTCCTCGACAAAGTTATTCGGCAGATATATGGAAGATATCTTTCAGTTTAGTTCTTTTCACTTCCAGTTAAGAGTTATCTGCCGGGTAAAGTTATTCGGTAGTTCAAGTAGCAGTTATCTGGCAGATATCTGCTATGGCGCCCTCGATGGAAGCACTAGGAAATATTTTGTATAACCTATAGACCACAAACGGGTATAACCTATAAGCCGCAAACGGGTATAATCTATAGGCCACAAACGGGTATAACCTAATAAATTGGTTGCGTAGTCCACGGAGAATGACCAAATGAACAATAATTTTATAGTCAGGATGAAAAACGATAAATATACGATAGTTTAGTCAAAGTGTAGATGTTTTCAATTTTCTTTCTTCTCTTTTCATTTAATGTCGAACCCCAGCTAATGGATAATGAATTTGTATTAATAATGCATATTCTGTGACTTTGACTCGTTAAACGTATCTCTTATTCCAATATCATGTAATAATACAAAATTGGTAATTATTTTCTGACCACATACTTTTCTTTAGCAGTTGGAGGATATAATGTAATAAAAATACTCTACAAGATTGTGCTTAATATAATTTAATATTAATTCCCGAAATCAAATGCAAAATTTCCCACCAATAGACGCAGATATTTAAAGGGTATCGTAATTTACGAAGTTATCTACTTCTCGCATTTGCGGTGTTATCAGATTGGCCAAAACATTTAATTGTCCTCCAAATAGCAAACCTTTATTTATCTAGAAGATATCTTTATCCGGAGGATAGCTGTCTGCGAGTATGAAAAAATCGGGCACTATAGCGTTTTCAGCTGGGCTACACTTTCTTACACCAGCGTTGCACGAATGGGATGCGAATGTATAGCGACCACAGGTTTCTATACATAAACCTAGATCGCTAACAGTTGCTATATAGACTGGAGGAAAATGTGGCAGGGCTTCGCTCCGCTTTACCTCATTTAGGGTTCCACCAGTTACCGTTTGGGGGTGCTGACGCTTACATTTTATAGGGATATTCTAGTTGTCGCGCTCCCCCCTCGTCCAGGTGGTAGAATGGGAGGACAGATACACTGGACATTCGTCAATGGTTTCCTCCCGGACCTACTGCCCTCTCCGGCCGCGCGGCGTACTATGAGTGGGAGCAAGGCGGAATTTGAATCGCTCGAGGGACAGAATGCATTTCCTAAAGAAAATAAATGTTTATAAACAAAAACAAGTAATGTAAAATTATTTTAATATTATTGTGGAGTGTCTCTGACACACTTAACGTAGTTTTTGTTAAATGATTATTTACAGAATTTTTTAAACAATATATTAAAACGCGTTTTATTAAAAGTTAACGAGTTTCTTAGCGATTCAATTGTTCCATCCACTGAAGCGAAGTAAGAATATTATCTTAGCTTAAAAAAAATAGTTTATTAACATTTATACAGGGAAATGACGTAGGAAAATTCACAATCCACTTTTGGACATAGAAGCGGAATCATGATTTCATGTCTCTTATATATTTACGATCTGCACCATTCTTCGTATTCTTCGAATAAATGGACACCTGTAAATCATTAAATGAGCATGTAAATGAGCACCCGTATACATAAGAAAGACTTCTTATTCGCGTTTTTTATAAACGCAAATCTGAGTAACTTTTATGAATTGAATTCATCCAAAATAGGTATCCTTCGAAAGAAAATTCATGTAACGAAATATTTGCCATTTAAATTTACTTTGGGACGTAACGGGGCTGTTCGACCGTCGCGAAATATGCTACAACTTGTTTGCATATAATATCATATTGCAAGAATCTCAATTCCTTCGGGAATATAGAATTTTATTTCGAATCGTGTTCCCTCTATTTATTGTGCTTATTTTAGTTTATATTATTCGCAACATTTCATTTTATATCATTTTGCTTTAATGTTAATGCCTTCAGTTTGTTTTATTTTAAACCAAGGAAATTTGAAGTTTCATCATCTTTCAGTTTTCACGTTGTTTATAAAATACGTGTTAGTATAAAGCATGAACAAGAAACGGTTAATGTTACGAGTTGATGACATCATTTATTCGAGACGACAGTTCTCGCTAAGGAATCGATCCTCCTTTCCCTCTGTCAATTACTTGATCGCGGTCGTCACAAAATGACAATCCACCTTGCCAGCCGCGAAAGGAAGGGGCGATAAGGCCCGAGGGTGATCGACTCCAACTGACAAGAAACATTCCCAAGTGTCCGCCCCCGATCTTATTGATTTTCATATATGTTGAAGAACACAAAAATCTAAGAGACACGTGTTTTTTTATATCTGCAATGGTCCACATTTAAGGGATGAAACAACCCCCCAAAGTTTAGCGAAAATTCGATTTTTATAACAATTTTCGTAGAAGCAATGGAGGGATTTCGACGAAACTTGGTATAAACGTATTCTGTATAAGGACGGTGAAAACACAACATTGTTCAGCAATGCTACACCCCCCTAAGGAGGTAAACTACTCTTCAAGCGACATTTTTTTGTAATATCTATTAAACAAGCATTCCTACTTAAGTCCTACTTACGCGATGTGATTACTCACAAAAAATGAAGAAATACGTGTTTTTTGCTTTTTGCCAATAAATATTTACACATCGGTTGTAAACAATGAATGTAGGTGGTATACGGGTATATTTCGACTAGCTATATTGGATTTTATCGTGACCAATTCATTGTACATAAATCTCGTGAACGTGCTTATTCCTCAAAATGCCCATGGTTTTCATAGCATGCAATTATTTATAAATAAATTTAAAAAAAAGTTTAAGAGACTAAAATAGTTTCGCAACAGATCCGATGACGCAGTCATCACCCGTTTCCAACTAGTAATACAATCTCCTTGATGAAACGGTAAAATTGGATTTTTACTGTTTTTACGATAATAGAGTTAGCGATATTCGTAAATAATTGCATATTATGAAAACCAACGACATTTTGAGGAATTAGCACGTTCACAAGATTTATGTACAATGAATAGGTCACGATATAACCCAATAAAGCTACTCGGAATATACCCGTATACCACCTACATTCATTGTTTACAACCGATGTGTAAATGTTTATTGGTAAAAAGCAAAAAACACGGATTCTTCATTTTTTGTGAGCAATCACGTCGCGTAAGTGGAACTTAAGTAGGAGTGCTTGTTTATTAGATATTACAAGAAAATGTCGCCTGAAGGGTAGTTCACCCCCTTGGGGGGGGTGTAGCATTGCTGGACAATATTGTGTTTTCACCGTCCTTATACGGAATACGTTTATACCAAGTTTCGTCGAAATCCCTCCACTGCTTCTACGAAAATTATTATAAAAACTGAATTTTCGCCAAACTTTGGAGGGTTGTTTCATCCCTTAAATGTGGACCATTGCAGATATAAAAAAACAAGTGTCTCTTAGATTTTTGTGTTCTTCGACATATATGGAAATCAATAAGATCGGAGGCGGACACTTGGGAATGTTTCATTGTGAGAACGCCGTCAAGAGACATAAGACCAGCGAGAGAGCAAGGGAGAGCACCACACCGGGAGGGACGAGGCTGTATCCCGGGACAGAAAGAGAGTCTTCTTCGCCGGCGTGAAAACATTGACAATAATCCGCTCATCGGGAAACCGATATCGAGACCCTTAGAGCAGGGGAGATGGAAGGCCCGAGACCGGAGTTTTAGGAGTGGTAGTGGAAGTTCGAGGTCTTTGCGACCCGTAGGAGTAAAAGAGAACGTCACGCCCCTCGAGCCCCGAGTCGGCAGCCGAGCCGAGCCTGCCACGCCGACGCGAAACCAATATCTGGTTAGGGCCCGAAAACCGGCCGCATAAGTCTGTCCTTTTTTTTTCGAAGGACATAAGGAGAATACATTCAAAGAAAATACATTCTGCTGTTAGGAACACCAAGTGCAACCCTCATCAAACTAATTACTTTATTTTCAGGGTATAACGTCGGTATTATTGTTGTTGAGCTACGGAGCGGACGTTAATGCGGTGACTGACACCAGGCATGATTATCGAACCGTCTTGCATTACGCAGTACTTGGAGGTGACCCAGCTGTCATCAATCTTCTGATAAAACAAGGCGCTAGATTGGACCTTGGCCCTGACTACCAAAAACCCACGGCCTTGGATTTAGCTATTCTGAAGGGAGATCCAACAATGGTGGAAATGTTGTTGCGAGCAGGTATGCGCCCCATTTGTGTTTTGCTCCGTATCTCGTGCAATTGAGTTTCTTACAAAAGAAATTGAACTCTTTAGATATGAGTGAGTCGATTTCAAACGACAACTTAGGATACCTGGAATAAACCGGCGTATAAATATAATTCATAAATGAAATGGCACCGTTTTATTTGCAGTAAATGTGAGGGTAGATGTTTAATGAATTACGATGATGTGAAAGGTGGCTCTAAACCCTACCTCAAGAAACTTAGTTACGATATTCTGAAAACTTTTTAGAAATTACTGCTTATGTCGTTTTAAGGAAAAAATTGTTACAATAGATATAGTAATAGAATATAGAGCAATGGAACTCAATTACATAGTAAGACAATTTATTCTAACCTACTATTGTAGATTTGATTCAAGACACCTCCAGGTCAGTGAGGATGCACGGAAAGTTACGCATATGAAATTATTGAGCAAAGTTCACTTTGAATCAAACTGTTTTCGGATTAAAATTGTGATTGTTGGCTAGAATCCTTATTTAAGAGTACTCTCCTAAATGATCAAGGTTGGAGTAATACGTGACGGTTCGTTTTGTAAAATCCTCATTTTTAATAGATGCTAATGAAATAATACTGAAGATGCAAATTGGTTTAGTGAAAAGATCATGGGGCGCGTTTACTGTGACGTTTGCAAAACGCGGGTCATTGTCGAAAGCCACAACAAATTTAAGTAACAAAAATTAAAGTAAAACCAAACATTATATCCTAAAGGTCGTTTCTGACGCTCCATTACGTATTATAAACATTTTTTCCATCGAAAGGTCAAAAGTAGAGACTTTTCAACTAGTTTATAGAATATTGAAATTTTAAGCCACCTGAGGCAGGGGTCAGAGTAATCCGATCGAGCCGAAATTTTTTATACTTATTTAGCACGTCAGAATGAAAAATAATGAGGGTCCTAACATATTGTCACACCTTTAATTCTAAGGGACACACTACCCAAGCACAACGCATTTTTGCAACAGAGCAAAGATTAGTTGCCGCTGAATGCCATAGGTAGTCCTGTAGTCAATTAGAATATCAGAATTCATAAAACAAGGAGATTTCTTGAATTTCACAGACAAGAAAACATTGTTAAGTGTCCCACCCCGATTTCGATAATTTTTATATATGTTGTAAAACTCGAAAATCTAAGGGACAAGTATTCTTTTTTACGCGCTAAGATTGATATCTAGGGGGTGAAACAATCACTCAAAGTTTGACAAAAAAATCGATTTTTCTTTTTCATTCATAGAAGCACCCCACGGATTTCAATGAAACTTGGTATAAATATATCTCGTGTAGGGAGGATCCAGAAACGATATCACCCTACACAGTTGCACTCTCTCGAGGGGGGTAAACTACCCTTATCAATATTTTTCTATATTAATTACTTATTTATCAATATTATTCTAGTCGGATGAATTGTCTTCGAAAAAAAATGATTTTCTCTTTTTCAAGGATAGTTCACCCCTTTAGAGGGATGCTCCTGTGTCGGACGGTACCGTTTATGAATCCTACCGACACGAAATATATTCGTACCGAGTTTCATGTGAATCCGTCTAGTGTTTATACACAAAACACTACCTACCCTTGATTAATATTTATAGTGTTAAATGGTGGTTTTTCGGAAAAAATGAAAAACACAAACTCTTATTTAATGCAAGCAATAACGGCATGCAGTTTTTATTCCGATCAGATCATTTGTCGTTGAAAAAAAAGAGAAAAAAAATATTGATAAGGGTAGTTTACCCCCGTCGAGAGGGTGCAATCGTGTAGGGTGGTATCGTTTCTGGATCCTCCTTACACGAGATATATTTATACCAAGTTTCATTGAAATCCGCGGAGTTCTTCTATGAAAGACAAAGAAAAATCGATTTTTTCATCAAACTTTGAGGGGTTGTTTTCACCCCCTAGATATCAATCTTAGCACTTAAAAAAAAATACGTGCCGCTTAGATTTTCGAGTTCTACAACATGTATAAAAATGATCGAAATCGGGATGGGACACTTGACCATGTTTCCTTGTGAGACGACAATTTGAGTATGCCATTCCATGCAATGTTCAATTTGGCTGTTAATATAAATATAAATGTAGCGTGCCGCATGGAAATTTTGGACGATATACCAGTTAAACAATTCTTTTTTGCTGACGTCGATTAAATTCCTTGATGTCTTTCACCATCACCTTAATTGTTTAAAGCACTCCGAACAAAGCTCAAAAAAGCTTCCGAATTAATTGAATAAGTATTTTACCAATTTGAATACAATAAGTACAAAACATATATTCGAATCAGTTTCTCTTATGTATCCTTTTTTGCTTTCAGGCGCAGATGTAAATGCAACTTCACCGATAATTGGATCTCCCCTCCATGTTGCCTGCGCGGACAACATCCCAAATCGTTTGGAAATTCTTTGCATGTTGCTTGAACGCGGTGCCGATCCAAATCGAATGATAAGAAGCGATGATGGCCCGGCTCTGAGACCAGTACTTGCAGAATACGTCGCTTCCAACGAAAATCCTTCTGTAGAAGTTGTCGCTTTGTTACTGAAGTATGGGGCGCGAGTGGTGATCAAAACTCAATTTCGCGATCCGCATGGAATCTTAAATTCCCTTCAAAACACAGCAAATAAGCCACGATTGCTGAAAGCACTCCTAGAAGCTGCAGAAAGCTTTGATCCTTGTATGATTCGACGGTCCAGTAGCTTAACAGATGCTCAGAGGGCGGTGGTTATGGAGGCTGCGAGGAATCCGTTACCGCTAACGCATCAAGCCAGGCTAATAGTTCATAAGTTGTGCGGCATGAAATTACCGAAAATCGTTAGGGAACTTCAACTTCCACAGACCTTACAACGCTACCTCCTTTACGATTTCCATTAGATGAACTTACTTCGCGTCTAGTTTATAAATCAATGTAAGAAAGAGCGCATTAACGTGCGTGCAGGCAGTTATTCTCCCTCTATCTACAGAGAGACCGTATAATCCCGTCCAGTCTGACTTACCATGTGTGCAGTCTTTCTGTGAAGTTATGTACATTCGTTTCTAAGTTTATAATCATTTTTTAAGTCTTCTAAGAGTGTACCTGATTCGATTAAACCTAAAAACTGTACCGTAGTGTTCTTTTGTAATCAATGCGAAAATTAAGATCAGTATAATACTTCCACTTAGGACACTTGTTCGGTACATTCTGATCAACTCTAGAAATAATGAATCTTTTATTCAACTTGTATGAGGACGTCTCAATTTACACACATTATATGAAATTCCACTGAACTTTCTTTTCGGACTGTACAAATTATGCGTACGCATTGCTTAAACAAACGCAGGTATGTTTCCTCTGAGGGTGGAACAATGATGGAGTGCCAGCCATTACTTATCTTTGTCGTACCAATGCTTACTGGACCCTATGCGACAAAGATACAAGGACAGTCAAATATCTCACTCTCTCTTTTTCTTTGGGACACGCTTCGTCGTGTATTCTTAAGCGTGACGAGCGTTTCGGTTTACTACATATTTTAGTGAGTAAATATAACAGTTCGTGCATCCTTGTGTCCTCCTTGTGTCTTGCCACAGTCTAGAGACCTACAGGAACCCACTGTGGCGTCGACAGTTAGATCAATGGTATGTCCATGTAATTGTAATGGTATGCAGTTTTGACCGTGCCTATGCACCGAGAAACTGCATCCTTCGAGAGTTCGAGCCTCACGACTCCTGAGACCGAAATTAATTTAAATTTCAAAGATAAGAAAGAAAAAGAGACTGGCGAGACAGCGAGGAGAGCGTTTCACGAACGATCAGCTGAGCGCGTCAATATTGCGGATTTCGGAAGGCCTGTCCGCGAGAACCGGTTCTAGCGAGTTTTTCTAAGGCTAAGCGCTCCGGCGGCGTCCGGTCTGATTGTGAGCTAGTCCGGTTAATTTTCGTCGTCGGCGACGCTGCGTCTCGTCTCGTTTCGTTACCTTCCGTTCAATTTTCACGTGTCTGGGACTTTAGGATAATTTTCGCTTCTGTTAGTTGAGGGACCAACCATTCGGGCCTTACGTTGGTGCGAATCCGTGGGTGGGTTGGGAGGCTCATCGCTGGTGCGTGAGCTCCCGTACGCTGGTGCGAGCCGCGACGGATTGGACCCGTGCGGTTCGAGTTCCGGATTCGCCCTTTGGAGGGCCTGGCGCCCAAAAATGTTATTGCTGTTGAGCGAATACAAGACGGAGACCCCATTTTTTTATTATTTATTTGTGACTTCACCAGAGGGTCGGAACATTTATTGCCAGGGTTTTGTTTGGGAGTTATATCAGTAAAAATAACGTCACAATACATATAACATTTTCTGCTTCCTCAAACCGAAGACAAATATTAGAAACTATATTGGAACATATAACAAAATTAGAAACTAAATTTGAAAGCAATATTTTATTTAGCGAGCACCAAAGTGATCATATTAGGAGTATACCTCGAGTGCTCGCCAAATTAACCATTGTTTTCAAATTTAGTTTCTAATTTTTTAATTTGTTTCTATATAGTTTTTAATATTTCTCTTCGGTTTGAGGAAGCAGAAAATCTTGTACATGCAACATACGTGAAACCAAATATAGTGTGACATTTGGCAAAAGGATTTTAGCTGAGACTTTAATGGAATGAATGTTCTACTTATATTTAGCAAAAATAATTGATTTGAGCTTTTCATGGGAAGGGAGCAATTTGAGCTATTTTTGCAATTACTTGAATAAAGATAAATGTATTTGGCTAAATTTTTGTACACTGGAGGAGTTTTGAGGGGATACATTTAAGGTGAAGTGAAATAACCTTCAAATCAGTCGATTCAAATACAATACTTTTTTTAAGGGTATTAGACCAAACTGTTCGAAACTTTGACACATCACTCTTGATCATCTAAGAATTGTCCTGACACATTCAAAATTTGGATTTTCCAAAAAAATTTTTAACTCAGTCCAGACCAGAACCAAAATGCCGTCGAACTCTTATATTTCGATCGATATACAATTATCGAAGGCTCTGATATGAGAATCGAAAGGGTCAGGACAATTTTACGACAATTTAGAACACTCTGGTAATCGATAAACTCGCATTTGAACAGGATAAGGGCAAAAAAGTGTTGTATGCGCTTCATTGCTAAAACGATGGTAATACGAGGTCTCGGAGTGAAAATTTAATTGACCTGGAAATCACAGATGGCGCAGGGGGTCCCTCCGCAGTCAATTAGGGCCCCAGAAGGCATGAATCCAGAGGATTTCTGGAGTTTTACTTCGATTTCTTTATAATTAATGTACGAAAACGACAGGTGGAATATGCCATTTGGTACAATACCCAATATAATTCGACCCAGCTGTCAATATAAAAACGAACGTCGGCAACGTAGGCATTTAGAAAAATCTTCTTTATCGACGTTGATCAAGATCCTCGACGTGTTTCACGTCACCTTAAATCCTGTATTCACCTTCACACGGTTCTCAATGAAGAAAACTGCTTAGAGGCTGAGACTAAAGCGTGAACGCCATTGAAAGCCCTAGATAATCTGAGATTGCCGAAAGGAAATCTAGGGTAAGCCGAAGAGGCAAGTAAAATAAAGTTCTCCGTAACCGCCCGAGTGCGCGATACGGCGCGACCGATCAAGGGGGGGACAAGTACGCAAGAAAAGTTACAATAGATGTATGTAACTTGATAAGTAGAATGTAAATGACATTACTATGGGTTATGTTTCTTTGAAACTCATACATTATTATAAAAAAAATCTTTATTTATCCCATTATTATTAATAATTGTTCATATTACGAATCCGATCCATTGAAAATAATGATTTCAAGTTATATTGTATTAAACTTAAAATTTATAAATGATAAGAAATCCCACACGGAACAAAAGCTCTATTATACGTATATGGAATGTTGTCATAGCTGCGGGATATTTCAGTATATCAGAAGTTAAAAATATACGTATAATATATGTTCACGGAAAATCAAAAATATTCCATTGGACTTTAGATGTACATTATACGTATTAAATATGTTACTAGAATATCAAAATTTGCACCAATTAAATACGTTTAGTAAACTTATAATATATCTCTATTTAACAAGAATTTGTATGTGTAGTATTTCACATGCAGAAAACATAATGGATGTATGTTGTGCGTATATTAAGGGAAGAAAAATTGACCTGCCACACACGTAAAATATACGTACATTCTATGTAAACAAATATAAATTATTTTATTCGTATGTTTGATATACGTACTTTATACGTTCCTAGAGCGACCACGTTTTCAAAAATAAACGACGTATACTAAACGTATAATATACTTCTATTTAAGACGCACTTGTGTCTGACATATCACACATGCAAAAGATATGTAATATGTGTAAGTTGCGCGTATATTAAGGAAATGAACATTAATTTGCCGTATACATATGACATACATACATATTACATACGTATAATAACAAACATACAGGGAAATTTATTTCTACCCATAAAGTACATAATACAACAAATGCTTATAATATGTGCCTACATGTATTCAAATAAAATGGTACATTAAATGCTTCTTTGCTGCATGTTCATTATATACTTCATTGGTGTGCGACCTGACTACTGCAGACTGAAAGTGAAGCTCATACAAAATCAAAATTATATCACGAGACATATCGTTTTGAGCGCGACGGTTTTCTTATACAAGTAAAAGTATTTGCAAGAAATATATATAACTTATATGCTTGTCCTTATTTTTGGCCAGAGATTGGCAATATAAATGATATTGATTAAACCAAATTTTAATTAAACTTATTACTGTGGTGTTTTAATGTACGAAACGTGTCGCATAATCCATAGAACTACGATAGCTCAGTGGTCAGCACTATTATAGTCTGTTACCTAAATGATTTGGGTTCGAATCCCGGTCACCACCATGGGGATTTTTTCAATGTCAGATGTTTGTATATCTCAAAGATTTCAGGCTCCTGAACAGAGATCGTGGTAAATTGTTTCGAAAAAACCATGCATTTAGTGCAAAATAAATAATACTTTTTTAAATTATTCCACCTACATTTGGAATACGTCTTATATATGTATAAAATACGCATAATATTATACGTGAATAATATGTCCAGTATACGGCTGTTAAACTTTTGAATATAGGCATACCATCTATTGAAACTTTTATTTATTGGTTTATTATACGTATATACGTCTGTGTCAGATATCTTATATACGTCTACTATACATGATACGTCTACCATATATCTTGTTTACATATAATAAACATACTTTATCCATATGGAATGTATATTAAATGAAAGTTGAATGTTCAAAAATACATATACTATATGTTGACGGCGCGGACATTTGTACATGCCCCAGCACATTCCGTATACTTTTGTATACATCTATTACACATCTGAATGTTTTAGCCAGACATCCTGTATACGTATACCATATGTAGTTGTTCCGTGTGGGATGGTTATAACTAAATTATAAAGTTATAATTTGAAAGAAATTATTATAACTGTAAGATTTACAGCTAATATGTTACATGACCTTATTAACTGTAAAATGTATAGTAATATTAGATCATTTTTTCTGAAATAATAGTTTCTGAATTTGGCAAGTTTACCGTTTCCGTGGCGTCAAGGTTTCACAGTTGATTATTGTTGTCCATGATATGAACAAACATCATCTCAAAGGAAAAGTTGATATCTCAATTAGTTTGGGAGATATTAATTATTTTCTTTGATTTTGGATATTTTAATCTTTTTAAATATCTCGAATACTGTGCGAGATACAATACAATTTTACATAACCTCTTCGATAGAAAATGTGATTCCCTAGAAGAAAGATAATATGCATTTTGATCGTGTCTTGCATAGTTTTTTTTAGATATAATGCAGTTAGTTGAAAATATCTATTGACACAACGATTATGTCAATTTTTTGAATGAAACATGTAAGTTATGAGTGAACAACATACAACCTTTTTTGTAGGGAATTCAATTTTCTATTAAATTGCTTGTATGTATTTTTTTGTATCTGTGGTAATTTTAGAGATACTGCGAGTCGAATTTCGAGGGGACGTGTGTCTTCCAAATTTAACAATGTTGATGCCATCTTTAAATCGGGTACTATGACGTTTCGGTCCCGCCAATTCATCCAGTTGAAATCAGATTGACATTTAAATTCAAATTTATAGATCATGTTTGCTTTATTTTCCTTGATTAATATGATTTCGTATATGCGATAGTAAGTACACGCCAGAAAATGATCAAATAAAAGAAATTATATTAGAAATTAATTCACAATCCCTACCCATCGTCAGATAGAAATGCGCGGCTGGGGGGCTTCGCCCCCCACAACTAAACTAAACGAGATTAGATAACTATATTCTCAGACAATAATTCCTAAGGCCTAGGGAGCGTGGAAACGAAAGAATCGGCGGGGCCCAACGTTGACAAACAGGTCCAACCAAAACTACTACATTTTTTTGTATTTAGATATTTTTATTTTAGATTTTTTAATGATGAAATAACATCATTTTTTTCCTGGAGGGCTTAGCCCTCCAAGCCCCCAGATTGTAAAATTTTCAAGACACATCCCTTCGAAATTCGACTCACATATCTCTAAAACTACGACAGATACAAAAAAAATACATACAAGTAGTTGTCTAGAAAATTGAATTCCCTATAAAAAGGCTGTATGTTGTTCACGCGTATCTTACATATTTCTTCGAAAAAATTGACTTCATCGTTGTGTCAATGGATATTTTCAACTAAATCCATTATATCTAAAAAACTATGCGAAATAAGATCAAAATGCGTATTATCTTTCTTCTAAGGAATCATATTTTCTATGAAAAAGGTTATATGAAATATTATTGTATCTCGCACAGTATTCGAGATATTTAAAAAAAAATTAAAATATCTGAAATTAAAGAAAATAATTAATATCTCCCAAACTAATTGAGATATCAACTTTTCCTTTGAGATGATGTTTGTTCATATCATATACAACTATATCCATCTGTCAAACTTTGTCGCCATGGAAACCGTACTATCCCCCTGAATTTTATTCAATTTAAATTTATAGCGGGAAATTTGCTAGTTCATACTTCCGGTATTATAGATCCAGAGGTCGCTGCAAACACTAGTCTCGGACAGCATCTCTGTCTCGGATAATAACATGCGAGTGGCCAAAATCCCGGTACTGGCTGTTAAGTTATATATTAACAAGATTTTTCTGTAAAAATTGGTGTTATATTGTATATATGTCATCAGAGAACATGAGCAGGTATGTTTATGTCCTTTTTTCTTTTTAAGTATTGTGTAGTCAATTAGTGTACGTAATGTACTTTTGTAAAACTCAGACCTTGTTGAATTATGATATGTTCTATCAGAGCTGCGTTTATTATTATGCTTAATTCAGTAAATATGAAGGATGAATTGAACAAGATTGTAAGATTGTTGGGATGCAACCTGAACTTGTGATTAGGATACTTTCAGTGGAATATTTTGTCATAACAGTAAATAAGACGCAGGTAGCAATGTGTTTCCATTATTGTGTTGGGTGTCGGAAAAGTCATGACGCATGTTTTTTTATGCCATCTGTTACGAAGATGCATCTTGACTTTGCCGACGACGTAATATATACCATGACTTGATGTTCATTTAGTGGAAATTAAATGAGGCTTTATGCTTTCATATGTTGATTCCAGTTTTCATCGTAATCTAAAAAATGTTTCGATGTGTTCATTTTGAATTCTAAGATGATCAGAATTTGAAAAGGTCTTAAGAGGATGAATCGAAAAAATGTACAGCAGATGGATGTTTTCATGTGACTACCCCTTATTTAAACAAGTGATAGTGCTGTAAAAATACTCAAAGTATTTACTGCTACCTGATGAGTGACCATGCAGAGTATTAACCCTTAGCGCTCTGTAAGTTTTGTCACGTTATGATAAATGTCTCCGTAGCTAAGGAAACGGAGCAATAAAGGTTAATAAACGTACCAAATCCAAATAGAAATACATGATCATTATATGACAAGGAAAATGGATTTACAAGCAATTTACAGACCATTTGCTGCGTGAAATGTCTGTAATGTATGTATGCATATTATACAATAACGTTGAATAAAAATTTGCGGTATATTCGTCAAATGGTTACAGCAATATATTTACCACACACTTGCGTCATATACCAGTTATGCCATAATCGACATTTATGAACTGAAAATTTATGGAAAGTTTAACAGGAGCTATAATATCATTCCATGATATTAATTTGCGCACATCATATGAAGTTAGGTAATACTATAAATGTGAGATAAACATGATGTTCCATATTCCTGTTTCCATCGTGCCATGACTCAAATATGAGCTACAGACACTGCAATTGTTTGTCAACATTGCGTGAGATAAATTTAACTGTACATATGCGTATATACATTGAGACATTGCTTGTAATTAACTTTGTTTTGTATTTAAGTATTTTTTATTCACATTGTGTACTGTAGGTATGAGTTTGAGATGAGAACTCATAAGCAACACCCTCATGACTCATTTCACGATATTTTATGAGGCAAATTTGATGAAAATTTGCATCACTTGTCTATCGGGAAAGACAATAAAATGGGAAGAAAATTATTGGATAAGTTGTATGCCTAGAGAAGTGTTAGAGAAAAACAAGGAAGTTGTCTTGGTCACTTTGGGAGGCCTCTGGAAGATGCCATCCATGAGAATGTTGTTTGTAGTGGGAGAACTTTGGTATCGGACTCAAATCTATGCCAAAATCCAATATAGATACCGATGAATGGAAGAACTGTCATCCTCAAAGGAAGGGCACCTTAGGATTTCAAATAGATTTAAATAACTGAAGCCGTATATTTTAGATATTATATAATTTAAGAGATATATATCTTAATCTATTAGTGTATAATGTTTTAAACTTTAGCACTCCCCGAGTTTTGGAACATTATAATGGATGTCTCCGTAGCGGAACCAACGGAGTTCTAAGGGTTAATGTGAAGTAGTGTGTGACTGTAGTGTTTGATATAAGTGGGGTGGTTTAGATAAACTGACAATGTGTATGTTAATGAGAGTTGAATGTGTCACGGATACTAACAAGACCTTTTAACAGACTTATAATTGCTGTCTTTTGGTAATATCTTACATGAGATGCTGCAGTTTTATTGTTATAGGCATCTTTAAACAATTTCATATATTTTTACGCTGCAAACATTAATGTCAGATAACTTAAATGATGATTTGTAATTTGTGTATTTAAGCTAAAATCATGTGTTGATTGTATTTGACATATTAAACTAATTGTCTTTGAGAGTTCTTTTGCAACCCTTTGGGTTATATCAGGAGAGGATATATAGCCCATGTTGTCATTTTTATTTACTTTGTTTATATTAACATCTCTTTAATTAATTATTCTTATATTTTAGTGATAATATGAATTCAAATGATAACGATGGATGCAGTAATGCGTCTAACAATACTCGGCCACTTGCCATTGAAGGACCCCGGTTTCCAAATGTCCCCAATGATGCAATTGAAATCGTACCTAATCAACCAAGACAGCCCAGTAATTTACAAGGGCTTCTGAGGTTTGCCATGGAAGCAACTAGAAGTGAAGATGCTCCACATAGTTCGCAATTTCAACCACTGGACCAAGAGGTAATTCGACTTACTTAATTGGCTAAATATGTTTAAGTTCTAATATGGGAAACGAAAATGTCAGGACAAATGTACGACAATTTAGAACACTAATAATCGATAAACTCGCATTTAAACGGGTTAAAGGCAAAAAAAGTGTCTTATGCGCTGCTATGCTAAAACGACGGTAATATGAGGTCTCGGAGTGAAATTTTAGTTGACATGGAAATCACAGATGGCGCCAAATATCCCTCTGTAGTCAATTAAGGCCTTAGAAACCTCAAATCTAGAGGATTTCTGGAGTTTTACTTCGATTTCTTTATAATTATTGTTCGAAAACGACAGGTGGAGTATACCATTTAGTACAATCCCCAATATAATTCGACATAGCTCTTAATATAAAAACGAACGTCGGCAACGTAGATATTTAGAAAAATCTTTTTTACCGATATCGATCACGTTCCTCGACGTGTTTCACTTCACCTTAAGAAAGCGTTCGTTTTCTGCTCGGGTATTTCAATCTAGTATAAAACATTTGTTCTACTAACATGCAGCACGCTCGTGTATCCTCTTCCTTAAAGTCACTTAGGACTTTCCGTGAGATCCTACTGGATCTTTGATGTAATATAGCTTATTTTTATTTAATATTCTTTATTTGCTTTCAGACGAAGGATTTCCTAAATGCAGCCCTATCTTCTATGACCATAAATTTGGTAGAAGAATTGCAGAATGCAATGAAAACGTTATTAAATGTAAATGAGTTGAGAAGTGACGATGACCCTACAGAGCATGAACTGGCTTTAGAAAGAATTGCAGACTTTGTTGGTAACATAGATCTTGCCAACGACTTTTATAAAATTGGAGGTTTTCCTATCTTGAAGTCGTGTCTCAACTCTACACATAGCAGTATTAGATGGCGAGCAGCAGAAATTATTGCTGAACTTACTCAGAATAATCCATTTTGTCAAGAAAAAATACTAGAAGCAGAACTGATGCCGATATTATTAAACATGGTAGATTCGGATGAGTCCGAATTAGCTAGAATTAAGGCTTTATATGCTGTATCTTGTAAGTAAAATTAATACATGAACAGATACATTTCGTTATGAGCATGGAAACTTATCTGTTACTTGTTATGCACAGTACATGGAAATAATATTTTTTAATTCTAGGTTTAGTTCGCGGACATCCTGATTCTTTAAAATATTTTGACAACCATGATGGTTATTCCGTTCTCTTAAGAGCGATGCAAAGTTCTATTGAGAAATTACAGATTAAGTCTGCATTTTTTCTGTCGTCCTTATGTAATAAGGAAAATACAGATACCGTTAAAGCTACATTGGTCAAAATGGGGTTAGTGGAACAAATAGCTGGCTTATTAGCAATGCAACATCTTTTACCTGATACAAGGTAATATTAATCTTTTTTTCATACCGTTATAATAGTTATAGATATCAAATATAGTTGTAAGGAATAGAAAGTGAATATATGTTTCTTTAGCATTTTCTATTACTCGCATTCTTAACCTAAAAAAACTTAAAAGAAATGAAAGTTTAATGTTACATTTTCTTATTCCAGGGAACAATTATTGATGGTTCTTGCTGGCCTTGTTGATAATGATTATTTACCTGCATTAGAAGAATGTCGCCGATCTGATCTATGTTTAAAGCAGACTTTAGAAAAATATGTGAATGAAGCAAAACTTACCGGGGCCATGGATGAAGTGTACACTTGCAACAATCTGTTCGAAAAGGTGTTTTGTAATCAAGAAACTGACCAGGAAAGATAATTGAATGAAAAATTAATATACGAACGATATTTTTTTTGTTTGCCTAACAATCAACTGCTTTCCTAAATATAACTGTGTTTTACAGATTTATTAAAGAAAGTAGACATTCTGTAGTATCGACTCCATTTTTATAACAAAGTTGATTTTAAGATTACAATTATATCGAGTAGTATCGACTCCATTTTTATAACAAAGTTGATTTTAAGATTACAATTATATCGAGTAGTATCGACTCCATTTTTATAACAAAGTTGATTTTAAGATTACAATTCGAAGTAACAGTGATTTAACACTTATACATGTAGCTGACAATGAGCTTCAAACGTTGTTAATTCGTATATTCATCAAAACTCCAGTGCTGATTAAAAGTTATTAGATTAGTGATTAAATATTATACTTTACATAAGTTGCGTAAATGTCGTATGCCCTTCAAAGCGATGCCCTTAGAGGCATGGCCGGAAGATGACCTCGAGGTATCTTGCTATATTAATAACGCTAGACGCACGCAAGTGTACACCATGGACGTAAGAACAGGGTTGAGTAAGTATAATACGTCATGTAACATACTTAGTTTTCTACATGTGTATCTACAGAGTTTTACTTCGATTTCTTTATAATTATTGTACGAAAACGACAGGTGGAGTATGCCATTTGGTACAATACCCAATAGAATTTAACACAGCTGTCAAAATAAAAGCGAACGTCGGTAACGTAGGCATTTAGTAAAATCTTCATTACCGACGTCGATCAAGTTCCTCGACGTGTTTCACTTCACCTTAACACGTTGAGTGCCACGTCAGTCATCGGTGACTGACACTGAACTTTCCGTTCAGGCCGTGACAGTCGCCGGTGATTGACAGTGTAAAATATAGTATAAAACTAAAAAATCGCGTGGCCTAACGGGGATTTCCTTATAAATTCGCGTGGCACTCAAAGTGTTAGTCAACGTCGATAAAACAAAATTCATCTATACCCTTTTTGGTAGTAACGCCATTTTGGATACTCAAATGGTAACATAACCTGGCGCGTCCCGTTACCGACATTTATATTTGTGTTGGTCTTTTACAGCCTACGTTGAGAATTAACAAACTCAAGCGTTCCATACGTCATTTCGGTGAAGTAATGATAAAGAGATCGATGGAAAACTGTCGAAGTCCCATGAATTCGTTATTCAAACAACTGCTTAGGACCAATGTCGCCATTTGTGACGCTTAGATGCAACTAAATTTTTGCTCTAAAAACACGTTAGCCACAGAGTTGAGTTGGGAGATTACTCACGGGCAGGGCTAGAGTTCGAAAATTCTCGGTAATATAAAATTGGAGAAGGTAAATTTGAAAGATACGGTCAGTTACCGAGAATATTGAAAATTTATGACAACATTTGTTTCTTTTATTTATATTTTAGGTATCTTCAAACAAGTAACAGTTTTTTTCAGTACTCCCATAAAGTCCAAGCTAAAAAGCTATAAAGTAAAAAAAAGCTAAAAAGTAATAAATATCGTTAAAAAAAATGTTAATTATAAAGTTTTATTTATTTCCAAAGGAAAATATTCAGGTATAACTGTATCTCTTCAAAAAACACCTACGGTGTAAAAAAAACTTTGCCAAATACATTTTTATTTCCGACTTCAATTACAAAAATAGCTCAACAATGGAAATCAATTATCTTTGCCAAATACAATAGTACTTTCATACTATTAAAACTCTAATCAGTTATTTTTCCCAAATGTCATAGTATATTTTCCCCCACATAATACAAGTACATCCATTCCAAAAAATTTGTTTTGCCTCGGAATAATGTCTGGGAAAATGTTCAGTTTTCTACTTCATCTTATAAAATAAAAAAAATATATAAACTAAATCTAACCATATAAATAAAATTAGAAACTCAATTTGAAAACAA